TGTTGACCAAGGTAAAGAATTAACAACACAAATACACACAAGATGTAGAGTGCTGGGCAACATTTAAGGTTTTTTTGACAGCTGAAAGAAGGGATTATTTATGAAAAAACACAAAAAACAAACTCTAGGACATTACTCGATAGTTTGGAGACTGATTGATGAACTTATGGGACAGATGATCTCTCCTTTATACAGTTTCTTTAAGGATGTACATTCTCTTCAGCATGTCGGACTCTGGCTATAAATATTATCTACAGAGGAGACTGAATAAGTAAAGTCAGAGTGTGGAATTTTTTTTATTCAAATCTTGGTTAGATTCAGCAGACTCCTGAGGAATGTAACAGCTCCCACAAGAAAAAGAGACAGCCATTCTGACACACTGGCTATCAGATGGAATAATCAAAAAAAAAAGTTAGCAGCAAAGTCTTCAGGAATGTTTTCAAAAGCTCATTCATTCAAAAAAGAATGGAATAAAATAGAAGTCATTTATTGTTCCTCAGTAAGAAAATTCAGCTGTACTAGCAAACAAAGTTAAAAATGGAAGCATGCAGATTCACATAACGATAGCAATAACAACAAAGAAATAAACAAACCCACAACATAAAACTATAGCGTCAAATTCAAATGTATCCCTGTGATTTTGCCTTCATGAGATTATCAATAAAGTAAAAAAAGGAAAACTCTCTTGAAACCGAGCTGCAGCACATAAGACTGTAAAACAGCTGGAGAGGTTTTCCAACATGAAGGACTACACAGAAAGACCCTAGGTCTAATATAACACACTTAACCATCTGGTTCTGCCTTAGAGCTGATCTTCCAGATTCAGGAAGTGCTGGTAAATGCTAGAGGAACATTCTTTAAAGAAAAGCACAAGCTATAAAGAAGAATCCTTATCTTGGAAGCTTGGAAAGGAGGGGGGAAAATGAGCAAATTTTGTTCTGCCAAGTTTAAAAAATGTTTATTTTAGTTTACCTTGGCAAAATGAGTTACCAGAAAACATCTTAAGGAATTTTGAAAAGGCAAGCAGGAAAAAAAAAAAAAAAAGCGAAACAACCAGAGTTAAATACACTCTTTAGTCTTTCTCTTAAAAAGCTGTGGCACTTCTACCGAGATATTACAAGATGCCACAGATTCACCGCAAAAAACGACACAAACACTCAAAAGATGAGGTATAACGCCGCATCAGTGTGTGAAATCTCTTATGTAACGTCTCTGTGGAGAAAATGACCCCTCATCATCGTTATCTCTGCTTGTTTGGAAGCTGGAGTTTGGGTGTGCACTTACTGTTTAATGAAGGTCATTAAATACAGGCACAATGGATCTTTGACGGATGCAGGAGCTGAAAAACTTTAGAAAGTCATGATGGAGAACCTTTGTCTTCTGTTTTTTCTGTTTGTTTTTTGTTTTTGTTTTTTTTTGTAAATAAAAATCCAACCGAAAATGAGCCCTGTTAACATCATACCGTAGCAAAGATCCCATTGTTTTTCAAACGATTAGAAGCTGTTATAACCCCACTTATCTTTGCCTATGTGTAATACTACAAATATAAGTATTATATTGGGATTTTAAGGGTAAGATTAAAAAGTGGAGCAAAATTACGAAGATGGAGGTAAATAAATTCTGTCTTCAATTTTGTTTTCTAAATAAAATTAAAAAAAAATGCTGTGTGCCTTTGTAATAAGCCATCTGAGATGGTAACCAGAACCAGGTGTGGTCCCAGCTGAAAGTGTTTTGAAGTGTTTCCAAGGACTGATATTTTTTCCAGCACTTCTCTGCAAAACATTTGAACCTCGCTCACACGCAATGAAGCCCGATTCATAAAATATATTTTTAGGTCTTGCCAGAGGAACTCAATTGCATTTAGGTTTTGCAACTGATCTGTTATGAGAAAATATTTGGATCTGAACTATTTAATTGTATTTCTGGCTTTATGTCTGGCTGTCAGCAGAGGTTGTGTCCAAGCAGCTCTTGCATTTTTGCACAGCCTTTCCTAATTTATGTTGATGAATTCTGACTTCATCTAAGGCGAGTGGGAGCCTGTAGTGCTTTCCATGTTGCTCACGGATCTTTTATAAACTCCTTCATTATTGCTGACATGCATTTTGAGTAATTTTGCTCGAATTGCCTATCCTGTTTTTGAAGAATTGCTCTTAAACAATAAGCACGTACCTTTGGTCAGACTCTAGAAACAGCAGTTATTACAGTTTGGACAAGCTGCTTCTACAAAACTACTACTATCCATCTTAAACATCCCTTTCATCAGTAAAATTGTTGGAAATGTTTTGTTTCAACAGTTAAATACCATGTTGACAGTGAGCAGCCATTTACATGCGTCCAGTCAGGTTTCTGTGCTCACCACAGTACAGACTGCCCTTGTCAAGGTGTTTGGTGACATCCATATATATGCAGACTGTGGAGGAACCACAGGGCTGGTATTCTTGGCCCTTAGTCCAGCATTTGACCTCATTAATCACTCCATTTTATTAGAACACTTGGGTCAGCCTTAGGGCAAAAGCACTTGACTGATTTAAATCTTACTTGAAGAATAAGGACCATTATGTGTCTGTATAGTGGTTAACTTTACATCAGAGACCATTGAAATCACATGTGGTGTTCCCCAAGGGTCTATTTTGGTGTCCCTCCTATTCAAATCTACATCCTAGCTCAGATTATAACAAACATACATTATCATACCTATGCAGACAACACACAACTATACATTATGTCCCCAAGTTACTATGAGCCCATTCATTTGTTGGATAAATGCAAAGAAAAACGCAATGCATGTATGTGCCAAAAGTTTCTTTAGGTTATTTAAAACAAAACTAGATTATAAATATTTGGATCAAAGCAGGAGCATTAAAAGGATACCATTGATCAGGCCCAACTTTTAGGTGTAATGGATGCCAGGCTGAACCTTCAGAGTTGAATAAAGTCAGTAACGAATGTGAATTTGATTCCTTCATCACCTGAAGAACATTGCAGGGATTAAAGGACTGTCTTAGTAGGATCTCAAAAAATAAAAACAAAAGCAACTAATCCACATGTTCTTCTTTAGTAGAATTTACTACTGAAACAGTGTCTTCACAGGTCAGTCTAAAAAAATCCATCAGACAGCTGCAGTTCCAGAATGCTGCTGCCTATATCCTCACTAAAAATAAGAAAGTAGAGCACATCAACACAGTCTTAGAGTTACTCTGGCCCCCCGTCTCTATGGTAATACACTTTAAAATACTTCTGTTGTCTATAAATCCCAGAATGACTTAGCACCAAAATACATCTCAGATTTGTTAATGGTGAATCAATCACAGAGACCTCTCCAGTCTTCTGACTCAAGTCTGCTCTCCAAAAAATAGAAGAAATTCTGGAATCTGAAAATGTCAGGATTGGTTGTGGTGTGAGGAGACAAATGCAGAGGCAGGGAGGCAGAGATGAGTTTCTTGATTATTTAATGAAGTAAAAACAAACAACTGAGGCAGGAATCCAAAAAAATCCAAAAATCAAAACATGAAAAACAAAGTAAAAAAAAACCCCTGAAACCATGGAGACATCTGGGGAAAAACAATCACGAGGAGGAAGACTCAGAGAGACGGAGTTGGAGGAAGTTAGACGAGGAACCAGCAATGAGGAACTGGACAGAGAGAGTATTTAAGGGAGACTGAAACAAAGAGAGGACTAACGAGCAGATAGGGAGCAGGTGTTCACAGAGCAGAACAGGAAAGGAGCTAGGGAAAAAGGAGAACACAAGAGGGCAGCAGAGGGTAACAAATAAAAGCCTGAAAACTGATTATAACCAGAAAACATAACAAAATAAGAACCAAACCACTAAAACTAGAAAACAAGGAGCAAAGTAAAACTGAACACTTAAAAGAAAACATAACAGAGCCAGAACTGTGACAGAAAAAAAACAAAACTCCCAGAAAAATGTAGATGTACAGAGTACCCTTTACTCGAGGTAAAAATGGATGAATTGTCTCAGTAAATTGCCTCGAAATGACATGTTTTATATATTGGCACTATATAAGTAAATTGAATTTAATTACCTGCCTCTGTAATTCCAATGAAATGAATATTTCATTTTGTGAGTTTTTTTTCTTGTTTCCTTCAAGCGCAGCACTTTTAAGTGATTTGTTATTGAAATAAAAATACAACTAAAAGCGCCTTCCTACGCCCAATCTCAGGTTTCCTAAGACCAACAGTCTTTTAGCTTTGTAACCCTTGAAGTCAGTAAGTTTATTCTCATTCAGTCAGGAATTTTTGTCAAATTGTAAGGCAATTACGTTTAACATACATTGCAAAAATGTAAATCTAAATAAGTAATTTTTTCTTAAAATAAGTGCATTTAGTCTTGACTTGAGGAGGAAAGTGAGACACTTTGCCAATGGAACAAGACAATTTACATTTAAAATAAGAAAAAACAATTGCATTGTCTTATTTCAAGTGCATATTCTCTAATCTTATTTTAAGGGTAAAAATACTCATTCCATGGTTAAATCATATTATTTGCTAACTTTAAGAAATTTTTACTTATTTCTAGATCGTTTTGGCCTGGTAAATTTGGAAAAAATTTCCCCTCTAATTAATACAATCTTTAGACAAACATAGAAAAAAAAAATCTGGTATGATGATAACATATAGTGGATGTTATGAAACATTTAGCATGAAAAAAACAGAAAGATTGTAAGATGGGCACTTTATGTAGGAGCTAATTGATTCAAAGCAAACAAAAGAGCAACGACCAACATAATTAAAGCCTTTTTTGTCACAAACCGTTATCCTATTAGAGATTCAAAGTGAGCAGGCTGTTAAATAAGCAGGAGAAAAAGGCAGAAGTCAATACAGAATTGACTGAGGCTTTCTGTGAGAGACACAATACAGGCGGAAACAATAAAAAATGTGATTTTTCAAAGCGGCTCTTTGAATCCTCCCATACAGTAAGTGGGAGAGCCTGCCCAGAGTTTACTGAGTGGCTGCAAAGGGAGAGAGAGAGAGAAAAAAAAATACTGAGGCCACAGCCTTGTTGAATAAAAGCCGCCTTCATTCCCTGCTTCTGACTAATAACCCTTTCCCTCTCTGTTTTAACGGGTCTGTTGTTGTTTTTTATGTAGGCTATATATTCTTTCGTGTCTGCCAAGGTCAATCAGGGAGGCGCAACTACAGATCAGCGTCTGGAGAGGCTGCTCAGTTTTCTCCTGGAGTAAAACAGTTTGTAAAGGCAACAGAAAAAGGTCCCAGACCAGGATCAGTTGGAGTAAACACAGAGAGAGCAGAAACAGGCTGGATTGGGGGAACTCTGCACATAAAGGTAAGCCACACAAACTACGCCTGAAATGTAAAAGACCCCAACACTGTGTGTATGTGGCATTAAGCTGAACCAAACCCACTGTGAAGCTGAATAACAGCTGATCGGCACTTTATTTGACCTAAAGTTGTCTTAACATGAAACGATTCTGCATCTTCTTTCCTTTTGGGCTTCTTGACACCAGATGTGCATATTTTTCCAACCCATTACAGTCATTTCATGTTGCTGGTAAGGCATTAATTATATTTATATAACATGATCAAGCTCACGACTAAAATATCTATTTATATTCTCTGTAGTAATGTTAATAAGTTGATTGTTTATGTTCGTAACCTTAACCCTTTATAGGCTAAGTTACCGTTTTTGCTGAGTCCCCCCATCCCTCAGTGAGGTCTAGAAGCAGCAGATCTATATCCAGCCATTCAGCAAAGATACTGCTACATGTCTGTACATCTTATTTTGGCATTTAACAAATTAGACGAGCCCTTGAATGATATATTACCTACTCTAAATTAAGTTGGGAAAAAAAGTTATGTCAAGAAAAAAAATAGGTTGAGCTAATTGAAAAGTTAAAAACTAAAGTTTATAAGCCTAGTTAATTACATGAATTTCTTATAGAAACACTTTTGTTGTTTTTCTTAATAATATAATATATGATACAATATAATAGTCCGTATTGGGGAAAATTGGCGTTTCCTTTTTTTCACATTTCTGCCATCAAAATATCCATATTTTTTTAATGTTAGAAAGGTAATAAGGTCTTGTCCTTGAACACTACTGGCTTGAAATTTTGATTTTTTTTTAAAGTATTTCACTGAGTGCCCTATAAAGGGTTAAGCAGGTTTACTGTTTTAGATACGCTTAACTTAAAGCTTAAAAATGTAATTTTAAATCATTCACCAATTATTTGAAATACGTGAATAATGAATAATTCATTTAAAAACCCTATTGACGCAATGCATAAACAATTGTATAGCCTACATTTAATACCTTCCTAAATGTAGTTAAAGAGTTAGGCGGAGACTGGGGATGGTTGCAACCATGCCACTGCTTAAATATAACTACAAAACAACTACAATGACAAAAAAAGGAAAGCAATTCTCAAGAAAACACAGAATGTCATAAATCAAAGAGTAATTAAAAACTTTAAAAAAAGAAACTTAAACAGAATCATGACACTTATGAAATATTCTTATCCACTCAAATTTCAACCTTATACAAAGATGTTTGGGGAACACTGATAACAAAGCAAAGCTACAAGAGTACATGCTTCAAAAATATTGACTAGATGTCTTGTCTCCTTTAAAAAAATACCAAGCTAATGCATGATGCTACCCCCAACAAGTTTCACTGTACATCTTATATCATAATATTATTCCTCAAAAAGGAAGGGGGACATTTCAAACAGTCTTTTGTTTGTTGTTTAAAACTTTTGGCTCTCTGCCCAGCATTGCTTCTGCTTCTTTCTTTTGTCTAAGCTGGGAAAATATCTTATGTTTGCATTAATTGTTTAAGATAGATCAGCAATAAATAATCATTTTTGTTTTTCAGCAAAAAATAAAAGATAAAGGTCAGGAAACAGTGGCTGCATGTAACTTAATTAACAGTCAACTTGTTTTTCTGAGTATAAAGTATGTTTATCAGTGGGTTATTATTGTTCTGTGGAGATTTGCTTTTTGAAAAACAAAAAAGAATCACTAAATGATTTATCAAATGACTAGATAAGAGTAGAGACAGTGTTGCAGGTGTCTGTAATTCTTTGACAACTCTCTTCAACCTTGATGGTGATACAAAATAGCTGTTCATAAACCTTTCACCCAGATTTAATTTACTATGTGGTGCTTATTAACGACAGTTAGAAATATTATTTAAATTGTTTATAACCATAGTGTTTCCCAGTTCCTCCCTGAGTTCCCCCACACACTTCAAGACATGGATACAGATATTTTCTATGTGAGCCTTATCCATGCATCATCTCACCATGTTTCTGTGTTACTGATGTAAATGGATGATGACATAATGTTCGACACACCCAGTACCGACTTTGACAACAACCAGCTGGTAACTGAGAGGACTGAAGGAGAGAAACTGTTCAGCAAAAATAACACACAGTCTTTGGGGCAAATTGTTTCATAACTCTGAATTAGCATTGTGCATCTTTCGTCTCCTTTGAAATTTGAGTACTTTCATTAGTTTTGGTCATAAATAAATCTGTGAGTCATATATGATCTAAACCATTTACGTGTCAATCTCTTGATCTCTACAGCATGTTTGAAACTTTTAAAGGTGAATACTGGGATCTCCCTCGGAAGAAACATTTCTAAGAAAATGAAAATGAAGAAATATTTATGTTATCTTATCTGTGAAGATTCTAAGTCATCCAGGTCATGGTCAAGCTTGAAAAAGTTCAGTCTAGGCAACTGGATCACTGATCTATATTTATTCACTGGATTGCTGATAGGTCGTTTGTAGTACACAGTGCTGCAAAGTCACCAGCCGCTAGATTGGTACTCCCTAGTTAGACCGGTCAGAAAGTAAACAATACGTGCGCTACAGCATCGAACAAAGATGATGTTCTCAATTTCAGGGGGGCTTAAGACTTTTAGAACAAAAAATCAATTGTGTGTGTGTTAATGGAGCTTAATAATACTGTAAACAGATACTAAGAATATCACACACACACACACACACACACTATCTGATGATGTGCCAAAAGTGCTAAATAGATTATGTACATGTAATGAACATGTATTAATTACATTGTTATGGCGATTACATTACAGGCATTTTATTTATGGCGCGACTCTATGAAAGTGGGGAGTACCAAGATGGAGTCAGTCGACTTCAGTTTTTTGTTCTATCAGCAATCCAGTGAATAAACAGATCAGTGAACTGGACGTGAAGTTTTCTAGGAAACAGTTCTAACTAGCGGTAGGGAGCACTAAGATTAATTTACTGTGATTTATTAATCTCATTGCCCCCCACCACTAGATAGAACTGGAGAAGCCTCTTGAATGAGAGGCAAAGTGTCTTCTAGAAAACTTCACATCCAGTTTCCTAGACTGAAGTTTTTCAAGCTATTTATGTTATCAAGAAATACAGTCCAGTGGCCAAAGTTTAAAAATCTTGCTAGTGATACATGATGTTCACTTTCACTATCTTTCATGCTATCTGTTTTAAATGTATGTGTAAGCGTACCACGTACATCCAACCTCATTCAAGAAAGGAGTTCTTAAAGTAATCTTCAACAGCAAGAATTACTATTTTTGAAAAGATTAAATCATATTCACTGATGAATGATCACTAATTATTCCACGATTGATAGCATCATTTTATGCAAAACAACCAAAGCTGCCAAGTTACTATATAGTGAAGGAATAAAATGACATCCGAAATACAATAAAAAGAAAAACACTGAATATTTAGTTGTCAAAACATGAAGAAAACTTTCTTCTGTCTGGTACGACATGATTGGTCTTTCCACAGATGCAACCTTTTTCTTATGCTAAGAAGTAAGGTACAAAACCACAGACGCTGCAAAGATACAATTTGACAAAGAGGTGAACTTACCAGCATCCCTCTTGCTTCAGGAGCAAGAGGGGTGCTTAGTCAGCTACAAGTAGGATTTAGAGAATTACCTTAAGTCATTTTCTCCATGCGGGTAGATAATGTCAACCTAGTGGGTATGAATTCATGGTTGGTTTTAAACAGGCTGGATCATCTTATCTGAACAGTTCAAAGGAACATGTTGCAGGACAAACATGATATTAGGTTGTTTTGCATATATTCATTTTGACTGTATTTTCTTCTTACTTCACCAGATCAACTTCAGTGTAGAGATCTTATCCCTGAAACTATGGATAATTCGTCTGAAGACTATGGAAACTACATCTATGAATATGATGAGTACAGCGATTTGGAGAAAGTGGATCATAGTCAGACAGCGGCAATCCACATCATCTCTGTAGTCATCTACATCATTTGCATCATTCTTGGCCTGGTCGGAAACGGAGCCGTCATTTGGGTGACGGGGTTTAAGAGCAAGAAAACTGTCAATAGCGTTTGGTTGCTCCATCTGGCCATCGCGGACTTTGTGTTTGTCCTTTTCCTGCCCTTCTACATCGACTACATTTTGAGGGACTTCCATTGGAACTTTGGTCTTGTCATGTGTAAACTGAACTCTTATGTTTGCGTGTTGAACATGTACGCCAGTGTCCTCTTCCTCACAGTGCTCAGCGTGGACAGATACGTCTCTTTGGCGCACCTGAGCTGGTGTCAGAGGTACCGCACGCGAAAAAATGCTTGGATTCTGTGCAGCTGTATTTGGGTGGCAGTTGCCCTGCTGAGCTGCTACATGCTAGTCTTTCGAGAAATTACACAATTCAGTGGTAAAGTGGTGTGCTACATGAATTATCATGGAACACAATATACACACACAGGTGCTATGAATCACATTATAGTAGTGTCAATCCGTACCTCTGTGGGCTTTCTTTTGCCGTTTACTGCTATATTTGTGACAGGCATACTTCTGTTGATGAAGGTGAGGCAATCACAGGGTGTTGTTCGCATTTCGAGGTTCTCAAGAACAGTTTCAGCTCTTACTCTGGCCTTCTTTCTCTGCTGGGCACCATTTCATATTTTCAGCTTGATGGAGTTGTCTATATACAACTCCAGCTTAATGCACAGTGTTTTGAAGGCTGGCTTCCCACTTGCCACCAGCTTAGGCTTCTTCAACAGCTGCATTAACCCGTTGCTGTATGTGCTGCTAACCAAAAAGGTGCGCAGCATTCTCAAGGATGCATGTCTGAACATCACTAAGAGTTCGCTGAGGGAGCTGAACCAGTCCATCTCTGCCACGGAAGTGGAGGTGGAGATCACGCCTGGAGTCCATCTGGACATGATCCAAGACAAAAGTGGTGTTTCATCTATATAAATGCATGCTGCTCTTCTTTCTCATAATATCTAACTCTTTCTATTTTTCTTCTTTTTTTTAACATAGTTGTGCCCACTTCAACTTGAAATTCTTCCTGGTGGAAAAACTAACAAGCTGAGCTCAAGATGCACATGAACTAAAGTTTCCCTCCGCTTATTTTATAGCAACAGATGGAGGCCACACTCACAGCTGTAACTTTTGTAAAGGTTTCAAAGAAAATTGTTGCACAAGTTTTCCAACTAATGTTCTACTTGCAACAAACAACTGGCTCCTTTTATTTTTTTTTAGAGTCTCTGTATCTGTGTGTAGGACTGTTTCTAACATGCTATGAAATATTTAAATCATTAGTGTCTTGCAAAAATGTATCTATATAAACATTTTTGCTATATAAACTGCTCCATGCAAAAAATTGCTTGTTAAATGTGACAAATACTAAGGTAAATGTTTGCAAAAAGAGATATAAATATAGCATTTCCTTTCTTGGAATTTTAACATTTATAGAGAAGAAAAAAAGGATTGAAGCTCTAATTTAAAAATGGACTATCTTTATGTCATGAAATTTAATGCAAATTTCGCTTTAAAGCTCTATTACCTTTATGTTTAAAGCTGTTTAGTTCTACGTCTGCTATACTCATAAAGCTAGAAAGAGGGGACTAAGAAGCCACACATGGCGCAAGAGCATTAGGTTGGATTAGGGCATATTAAATGAAATGGAGGGAAAATTGTGAACAGTTTTACCCCTGATTGGGAATCACTGCCTTAAGGGAACAAAGTTTTGCCATTTTTTTTTTCAGGTATGACCGGTTTAGATGCTGCTACATAAGAAAAGTATCCCTTTAACTCTATACTATCAGCCCAGCATTTTACCGCAGCTGTCATGCATTCAGGCTGATGTTTAGCATATGTTTGTTGGCACTAAAAGATTTTTGCATGTAGATAAAAAAGTTACATTTCAGTCTTTAATTTCAATAGCCCATGTTTCCTGTTTCCACTGCTGTTTCAAACACAAAACCATCTATTATATAGCATAGAATTTAATGAAGATTTGTAAAAACCAATGGAAAAGAAAACAGGATTAAGATGTGATTACTTTTGCAAAACATGTTTGTTCAGGTTCAGTCTGACTGTTAGAAATATATTACCTCATCTATTTACATTTCTGTTGCATGTTTAACATTTCTACGCAAAGGGCTACATACAAAATGAAATGTATCCAAACATATTTCAAGCAAAAACGTATATGTCCTAATAAAAATGTACTTCTGAGTTGTTTGTTATTTTCCACTGGTCTTTTTTTCCCCTGCACACACTAATTGGATTATCCTGAGGGTCTAAGATGTGGCTGGACAGCAGGCCTGAGTGAGAAACAATTCCAGATGTGCATTTTACACACATTTCCTCAGAGTCTGTTTAAAATGAAGCTATATCCTGTTTTTTTCCTCCCTGAGTTCTGACTGTGGATTTCAGGGGTTTCATCACACATGTGGTTTATCAACATAACAGGTACTGGTATGACTGAGAAAATATTTGAAGAAGAAAATAGAAGTTGCTTTCCTGTTTCTACCTAATGATTATCTCTGATATGCTTGTCGCAGTCCTGGAAGGTATTCAAGATAAAGATATTACACAGTAAATTCCACAGTGTTAAATATGCAGTGTCACTGTACACTGACTCTTTTAGAGTTATTACAACAACTGGAGTAAAATACACACTATCTATAGTACTAATTTAACACTAATTCCGAGTGGGACCAAATGCACTCCTAAAGTGTTACTATAACACTTCCAAATCTACAGTTTGGACCTCATAAAGCTCAGATTTATTATAGCATTGAGAGATGCTTGAGATGATTAAGTAATGATTAAGAAACTATCTAATTTGCTTAGTTAGCTGGCCTACTGGCCTTCTATTGACAAGCTTTAAGAAAATGCTAATGTATTTTTCAAAAAAGTAGACAAATACTAAGTTTTATTACATAACTACAGTACTGCTGTGCTTGCATGGCCAGCAAATCTGCTTAATGGAATTAGCAAGAAAAGGATGGGACACCAGAACCAACAATGCAGTCCAGCTGAAGCAACCTTGACCAGGATAATTCCCTGTATACCATGTAATATGGAGCCTAGGTGGAAGTTCAACTGAAGAAACTAATTGCTTTACTACATCCACCTACGACACAGCCAATCAGCTTTGAACCACACCTCGACGAAAGCCAATCGGCATCCGAAGTTCATCATAAAAGGCCTCCAATACGCACCTGTGCGCAGGCAGCGGATGCGCTGTATGACTTCAATCAGATGAAGCAGTTTCAACACACCTCCAGCCCCTCCTCCACCATTGTAGCTAAAGCTTCATCAGTGTCATTCCGGTCCGGTAGAAGGCCGCCATGTTGAGCCTGGTTCTGCCAGAGGTTTCTTCCCAACGGGGAGTTTTTCCTCTCCACTGTCGCTTCATGCTTGCTCATCATAGACAGGTTCTCTCAACCCGTGTTATCCAAACTGGACTTCCATCTTCCAGGTCCCTGAGTGAAGCTCTAATATCAGCTCACACGTAATCCACTGGATCTCCCCATAAAGCTCAGCATACCGTCTCGCTAAACAGCAGTCTACAGACTGATCAACTTCATCTATTTCCGCTCCACCACCAGAATCAGGTCTAGGGGGGAAACAGCCCTATTATTTGCTCCTGTTCATGCATATTTATCAAAATTAAGCGCTTTGTTTCCTGCTGAAGTCTGAGCGCCAAAGACAAAGTCATTATATCAATAAATTTCTCCTAATTGTCTTCTCTTCATTTGAGTTTTTCAGATTGAAATAGCACACCTGACCAAGTATACATACATGTACTGCACATCAAGTGAACATACTTAGTTGTGTTAACTTAATCCATCTGGGTAATCATATTTTTACAAAAACTTGATTTCTGGCTTCACTGGAGTGTAATACCCGAAATAATAGTAATAATAATAAGCTTTATATATTTATATACTATTTATACAAAAAAACAAACAAAAACAAAAAAAACTAATTATAAAGTGCTGCAGAGGGATACATTTTTTTAAAAGCATATACAAAGGAATATAAAAAAAAATCAATCAATAAAAGATGATCATTAAGAGGAAGATTTGCCCACATTTAAAGTCAAACAACCATCAAATGTTTCTATAGAAATCTATTTAACCCATTAGTTTCACGTTGCTATGATAAATGAGCTGCTTAATAAGATTATAAAAAGACTGGGAGACGCATGTACTCAGCTATTACACACAACTAGTCCTCTTGTTCGGGATTATGGTCAGGATTACTTAATCCGTGACGCAGCAGAAATAGAAGACAGTCAACAATCTGCGAGGCAAGCAGCCCACCATATACCCACAGGGTGAGTAAACCGATCCTTTAAATCACACAGAGAAGCATCAAATATTGATAACGCGCTTTCTTATGCTTAATAACCTAATTGTTACCATGAAAAAAAAAAAAAAAAAATGGTATCAAATCCGATTTGACGTTAAAGATATAAAATGCATCCCCATTTGTGTAATGAACAGCTTGTTTTTAGCTCATTTAATTAGGTTATTTAACGTGAGTCAAACATTTTAACTGCTTGCCTTTTTGTGTTTTTAATTTTGCTTGTTTTATTAAAACAGGGATATTTTGTAAATTATGACTGAATCTCACTGAGACAGCTTGTATAAAGAAAGGTGAAAAATAAAATAAATTAGCTTTCATTAGTTATGTTTTATAAGTAGCGCGCTAGCAAAACATTAACAGTATTAGCTCGTGACAGCTAGCAAGTTTTCTTTACGTTTGGGACATTAAGCAGCTGTTTAAAAACATTTTTATAGTGTTTTAATTATCATATTATAGCTGCCTATCTGTGCGTTGTCGGTTGAGAGAGTTTCTTTTCTTGTTCTATTACTTTAAAGTGTTGTAGCCTACGCTAGCTTGCGATGCAAACGTTAGCTAGCCTTCATTTTTTTTTGTGAGCTGTCAGTTTAGAAAATCTAATATATTGTTAAATCTCTGTTCTATAATATTTATTTTCCTCTCGTCGGGTAGGTTTGAGTCTCAGTGTTAAGATGCACGTTTCTGTGTTTCTTCCAGCATGTTGCGTTTGCCTGTTATGAATCGCAGTTTCCTTCCAGCAGCTATCATTAAAGCAGGCGCGGCTGCTGCAGCTCACAATGGTAACTATGCAGCTCACTTCACCAGATTATTAGTTGATCCTGCCTCGGTTACAGCTCCTACAACGTGTTTTGTGTTCTTGCATAACAGCTATTTACGGAAGAGGATTAGGGCCACTGAAAATATTAAAAAAGTTAACTGATTTTTAAATTTTATTTCTGTATAATACAAGAAAAAAGTCAGAATTCTGGCTTTAATCCCAGAATTCTGGCTTTTTTCTCAAAATTCTTACTTTTTTTCTCAGAATTTTGACTTTAATGTCAGAATTCTGACTTTTTTTTCCTCAGAATTCTGACTTTGATCTTAGAATTCTGATTATTTTTTAGATTTAAGTCATAATTCTGAGATTAAATTCATAATTCTGAGAAAAAAAGTCAGAATCCAGACTTTTTTCTCAGAATTCTGAATTTAATCTTACAATTCTGACTGAATTCTGCTAGCAAACGTGTTAGCAACAAGCCGTAGCCATGTCTGTTTTAGAGACTAGCTCTCTTGTTTTAATCACCTTCTGCTCTCCCATTAATGAAATAGCATCATCGGGACCCCTCGGCCACGTAAAAAGACGCCTAATTCCGTCATTTTTCACCAATGTGTTACTGGCCCTCTCAAACAACTTATATCTTTGTCACTGAAGCTGAGTGCTCCATCATCTCTTCCTTCATGGTGCCCATGTGCTTTAAGATCCAAAATTCGGAGATTAAAGTCATTATTCTGAGATTATAGTCATAATTCTGAGAAAAAGAGCCATAATTCTGAGAAAAAAAGTCTGAATTCTGACCTTTTTGTTATATTATACAGAAATAAAAAAATCAGTGAACTTTTTTAATATTTTCAGTTGCCCTAATCCTTTTCGATAGCTATTGGTCCTCTGTGGCTGAAAAAAAATAACCCTCTCAAACAACTCACATCTTTGTCAGTGAAGCTGAGTGCTCCCACATCTCTTCCTTCATGGTGCCATTTACATTAAGATCCAAAATTCTGAGATTAAATTCAGAATTCTGAGATTAAATTCAGAATTCTGAGATTAAAGTTAGAATTCTGACTTTTTTCTTAAGTTATACAGAAATAAAATGTTAACATCACTTAACTTTTTTCAGTGACCCTAATCCTCTTCCGTAGGTATTTGTCCGCTGTGGCCGAAAAAAAATATTTAATACTGGTTTGATACTGGTAACTTTGCTCCACCTGATGGATTAAGGATTATAAACCAAGCTGGTTTTACAGTAGGGTTAGTTTCAGTCACTTTCAGGAGGATCCAGATAATTTAGCATATATGTGAAAAATAAATAAAGAGAAGTAAATAAGTGAAAAAAATAATAATTATACATAAGTTTTTGTTAATCTAGTGTTAGTTTCGGTTTAGTTGAATTATTATGCTGACAGTTAAAGCAACTCAAATGTGTGTGTTGAGATAGTAACTAGGTTTCTGGGCATCCCCAAAATCTTCTACTTAGCTTCCTTCACTGCATCGTTAATGGTGTGCTGACATGCAGTGCGCTTATCAAGGCGGCTGCACTTCCTGTAAAAGGAAAGCTCTCCAAAAGGTCATCAGGGCAGCATCGAAAACAATCGGCTGCAGCCTTCCCACTCTGGAACATATCTATACCTCCTGATGCTGCAAAAAAAAAACTTTTATCTAAAGCCATCATGGCTCTAAACCCACTTTTTTCTCTTTATATGTAACCTACATATGCCTAACTACTGAGTCGTCAGCACGTTTTAATGTTTTTGTACCTTGGTAAGTGACCATGTATGGAAAAATGTATTTATGTTAATATGGATGATTGCTTTTCAGAGCAAAAGAAGGTTTCCAGAGCACTTTATCCCAGAAAATGAATGGAAAGTTAAGTGGAAGGGAGAGTTTTAACAATTACTTTACTTCAGAATTTCTTGCTGTGTTTAAGCATTATTTATGATAATACCATGAAGTTCCAGTTGACTTTACCCTGATTGGATAATCATGTATTTCACGAGCATCATGGATTACTACTTTGTATGACTTATTGTAGCACAGATTCATGATGAAATTATGAATGTCTTTGTCTGAAGCTCGCGCTGCATCTGCAGCCACAGCCGCTGCTGCTGCCAGGAGCCTCCTGGAGGTGTTTGTGGATGGGAAGCCTGTCATGGTGGAGCAAGGAACTACGGTGTTGCAGGTCATATAAAGACTCTAACTTAAAAATGTTCTTGGTGTCATTTTAAAAAATTGAAAAAAGAAAAAAACTTTTATAAAAAATTTTTCAGTGAGAACAAATCTAAGGTAAAGAATGATTGGTTTAACAAAATTACCTAAACCTGAAAACACCTTACAGGGTTTGGTGGGAAATGCGTTATGTGTAAATCTGTGGGAGAAACACCTCATGTTAACTTGTTAACTATGATGCTGTGGGCCTATCCCCGGCCAAACACTCTAAGAGCTTTTTATTTTATAACAGAACATGGCAGTGTTTACCTATATATTTACATTTTTTATCAAATTATGTACAAACATTGGTTTATTTGCCCACCGATTAAATTAAATCCAAATTTGGATTGAGACATTTTTTTGCATATCTCCTTACCTGATGCTGGCTGTATTCTCTTCCAGGCATGTGAGAAGGCTGGGATGCAGATACCCCGCTTCTGTTACCACGAGCGCTTGTCAGTTGCTGGAAACTGTCGTATGTGTCTTGTGGAGATAGAGAATGTTCCCAAGGTAATGTTTAGGCTACATCCATTCTTGGTCTTTATACACAGACGAAGGTAGCTGTAGTAGCTTATATGTTTTTGTCTGTTTCTAGCCTGTTGCAGCCTGTGCAATGCCTGTCATGAAAGGCTGGAACATCCTCACCAACTCTGACAAAACAAGAAAGGCCAGGTAGGGTTGAACTTACAAGAAAAGTTGCTAAACTAATGTTTTTATTCATTGCTTGCTGGATCTTTTTATTCAGACTTAAAACATGTTAAAGTTTCCCAAATATTCTGTTAGAAACGATCTTAAAACTTGTGTTGAATTTTGAACAGAGAGGGTGTGATGGAGTTTCTTCTGGCAAACCATCCTCTGGATTGTCCAATTTGTGATCAAGGAGGTGAATGCGATCTTCAGGTAATCTGTCCATCTCTTTTCCAGGCAATGTACCACACAAACTGTTCTACAAAAATCAAAGCAAATACAAGGTTAGTAATCTACTGAACCCTTGCTATAATGCTGTTCACCTATCACGGCCTCGCTGCTTCAAGGATTTTCATTGTGCATCGTGTTCTGCCTTCTGATTGGCTAAAAAGTCTCCATGCTTCTTCTCTACATGTGTGTACATAATGTGACGGTTTAATATACATTTACGTAACACAGCTTGCCAAATTTAAGTTTGCAAATTTTCTCCGAAACCCATAATGTGGACAAAATGTTCTGCACCGACAAAGCAATTACGGACAGGCCCAAAAGGCAGGAAGATGCTAACTATCGCAGAAAAAGTTAAACTTCTAGACATGCTAATTTAGGATAGAGGTTATGCGGCTGTAGGTCGCCCTTATGGAATTCATTAATCTTCCGTTGGTTCCATAAAGAAGAAGGAAAATAACATAAAGAGGACAGTAGCAATAAGTTTTGATAAGGATGCAAAAAAGGGTTGCAACTGTCCGCAACCAGACCAAGGTAAAGATCGAGTCTGCATTAGCTTTGCTGATTAATGACTGCAGAAAAAAGAACATTACGCTGGATATGAACGTTATCTGCACAAAAGCTAGAACACTGTATCAAAAGGACAGCAATGACATTCATGACAGGGAAGAGGAGGAGGATGCAGATACAATACAATACAAGGGAAAATGAGGATATAAAAAAAAAAAGGTGTGAAAAACTAGCAATGAAATAAAATAGCGTAAGGACTGTTTAAAATAGAAAAATGTATGAACTTAAACGAAAATTAACTATTAGGGCGTTGTCACGCCTTGCCGTTTTAGCCGGCTTTTGCCTGACATCCCTGAATCTCCTAAAACGCTGGCATTCGCTGAACTTTCTATTTATTTTTTCAATTTCGGGCTTATACATAGCGTATTCATAACGTGTCCAGTATTATGTCCAAGACAGCCTAACTTGTGCATAACGCAAGGCAGCGTAATGTTCATGAAATGATGCACTATACCAGTGTCCTAAGGGGGGCAGCAATGCACCCAGAGGCGCCCGGCCTGCATAAAAAGATTTCTTTGATTGCGATAGGCTCAAAGACATCTTTTTATGCCCTAGCTGCTGTTTATTGCTCCAAGATTTGTAAAAGTGGAACCAAATGGAAGGTGTGTCCTGTTAGATCTGGTCTAAATTTAACACAGCATCTTAGAAATAAGGACACAGTTCTGATTGTGCTGCTAAAAGGAAAGTCTGAGGCTGCTTCAGATCGTGGATGAGTTCCTGTAATTGATGGAACCACGCCCTCTGCCCTTAAGCATGAAATCCTGAAGAAGAATCTCCAGCCCTCGGTTTGTGACCATGTACTTGGGTTATATAACAGGACAATGTTTCAAAGAACATCAGCAGGTCAACACACAATTAATTATTTAGAGAAGCCTGGACAACATCTGGACCCGTTTAGATGCTGTGGTGTGACCCTAAAACAGGCCGTTCATTCTGGACTGTGAACTGTGGCAAAAGTTAAACAGTTCTGTGAAAGAAATGGACCAAAATTATTGAAAAAGATTTATATTCAAGTATTGCAAACACTTAATAGTTACTGGAGGGGCAACAGAACCAGTCATTACATTTAGGTGTCAATCATATGTTCAAATAGAGCCAAATTAGTTTGAATAGCATTTTTCTTAAATTAATTCATCATAACATTAATTGATGCAAATCGATTATTTTTTTTAGACTTATCGATAAATAATCAGATAGCAAAAGGTTCCTTAGAGAAAAGTTTTTACAGAATTAAACCAGGTGAAACTAAAACGCTGCACTGGTGGCTCCTGGATAGAGAATATTGACAGATGAAAATATCTTTTTTTATTCTTAAATGCAAAATATTTATATATTTTTTGGCGATTTTGGTATAATTACTGCTCTAAGTGAGTTGCTCTGTCAGATAAATCCATGTTTTAGAGTCTCTGCTCCCCAGTTAACGATTAACTAAATACTAAATTAGTTGACCTATATTTCAATATTCAATTACTCTTGATTAATCCAATTAATCAAACCTTTTAAAAGCAAATAAGAGATAAAAAGCTTTAAAAACCCTTAAAGATTCTTAGAAAAAGAGCATTGAAATATACGGGATGCCAGAGCAGAGACCTTAGAACTGTAACTTAAAGGTGTTGTCAGAGATCTTGGAAAAATGGCTCCAGCAAGCTCTAGTTTTGAACATACACAACCAAGCCTCTCCCTTCAGACCACCCCTCGAAACCACGGCTTCAAAACACATGAACACGCATGCTGTCTGCAGCGTCTGAGCAGCTGAAACAGCGTGTTGCTGATCTCGGAGCTGGCAGAGCGCTACATAGCAGGACAATGCAGAGTGCTATGATCACAACTCTAAAACAGATTATTAACGCCTAATTAACTTAAAATACCGAAATCTGCCGGCAAAATGTGTTCGCTTTTATTACCCTGGTGCCTGCAGTTTGGATTACAGACATGAAAAACGCCTTCCAGCCGCAAGGAGGCGATCGGGCAATAGGCTGCTGTTGAATGGGATTCCTAGTGACAGCGCACCGCCGGTGTACGGGGGTCTGAAAAAATATTTGTAGGCAGGATGGTAATCTTCTCACTTCAAAATAGATTCAAACTACTTTTTACCCACTGATCACAGTAAATATAGCTGCCATTGTTACAGGCAAAGAAAGGATACCGTAGTTCCGCCCAATGCGCATCAGACCCACTTTTTCAACCGTGCAGCCAGAGTAGCAACGATGCTTCAACCTCGCATCAGAACTAAACTTGTACAAGCATAAAAAATGAAGCAGCACACGTGTTTTTGCTGCTCTTGTTGCTTTAGGTGTGAAAGTAGCATAACAGTGGCTAGCTTCCAGCCATGGCGTCCTGCACGAGCATTGGGGGGTCGATTCGTTCATGTGTCAGGGTACGCACACAAGGGCGGAGGGACAAGCAGCCGACCATGATTGACGTGTCAGAAACCAATCGGGTACCACACATTTGTGATTGGTTGGGGTAATTCATTGATTTCTCACTGTAGCGGCGACCATTTATTTTAGTTTAACTTCCAGACCTTCTATTTCACTGCTTGTAATTCGTTGGAAAAGATCTCCTACTGCACCTTTAATAGGAGAAATGTCTAATAATGTTTCTGCTGTAGGACCAGTCCATGCAATTTGGCAGCGACCGCAGCCGCTTCACGGAGGCCAAAAGAGCAGTTGAAGATAAAAACATTGGACCCCTTATAAAAACCATCATGACCCGCTGTATCCAGTGCACTCGCTGTGTGCGGTGGGTCACACTTTAAACTCTAAATCTGGACGTCGTATCACTTTGAAATGAGCCTCCACGCTGATGCTCTGCTGTCGTTTCTGCAGTTTTGCCAGTGAGATAGCAGGAGTGGAGGACCTCGGCACCACTGGGAGAGGCAACGACCTCCAGATTGGGACCTACGTGGAGAAGATGTTCATGTCAGAGTTATCGGGGAACATAATTGATATATGTCCAGTGGGAGCTCTGACGTCTAAACCTTACGCCTTCACCGCTCGTCCCTGGGAGACCAGGTTTTTAGATGGTCCTTAACGTGTGGGTTAGCTTTTCACTGGATCAAAAATCTATTCTATGTTGATATTTGTTTTGATTACAGGAAGACTGAATCCATTGATGTTCTGGATGCTGTGGGGAGTAACATAGTGGTGAGCACCCGTGGAGGAGAAGTGATGAGAATTTTACCTCGAATTCACGAGGACATAAATGAGGAATGGATCTCTGATAAAACCAGGTTCAGTCCTTATCATTTCTAAACCACATCCCCAGTCCTCACAAGCAACATCTGCACCATTTGTTTACGAGATCTTTTTTTTAAATTGTTGATAGGTTTTCTTATGATGGACTAAAGAGACAGAGGCTTATTCAACCAATGGTGAAAAGTGAGTCAGGGAACTTCGTCCCAGCATCGTGGGAAGACGTGCTAACCCGAGTGGCCGGAGCGGTCAGTATTTTACAGATTTATGGCTTCCTGTTAAAGTCAAGGAAGTGAGAGGTTACACTATCTCTTTGGGCAGTTGCAAAGCGTCCAAGGAAGCGAGATTGCGGCTGTTGTCGGAGGTCTGGCTGACGCAGAGGCTCTGGTTTCCCTGAAAGACTTGCTGAACCGTTTGAACAGCGATAACCTATGCACTGAGGAAATGTTTCCCATGGCTGGATCTGGGTAAGAGATCAGTGTTGTTTTCGTCAACGACGATGAAATTATTTCATTGACGGGACAGGACTGAATAAAAAAGTTAGCGGGTGTCTGCCAGACGTTTAAAATGCATCATTGTGCTATAAACTGTTAGACAAGCTAAGCTGGATTAGCTGTGCTGCTGCTTCCTGTTTGAACATGCCCACCACCTGGAATGCAATGGTGCACATTCTGTATGACCACAGATGGACCATGGCAGCAGCGGCAGGACAGTACTGAGCTCTCAACTCTGACAAACTCAGCTGTATTTGTGCAGAATTGTGTCTTTGCGGGGCTTAGCTCAGAGTCTGCGCTTTATGCTCCACACTGATGGTTTGCTCTCAGCAGTATGGCTCCTCCTGTATGGAACGATATATATTTGCCTTCGGTTTGAGCGCGCAGGAACCAATCCGAACACGCACTGAGACAACACGCGCACGCTCAAAACCAGTCTGGCTCGCGCTCAACTCTGAAAAACTCTTCTCAACACACTATCGTCGCGCTCAGTTCCATCTCTGCGCGTGCTCGGATCAGTCTCTGCTCGCGCTCGACCTGCTCTCACTGCGCTCAACACCAGCTGTGCGCTCGACTCTGTCTCTGCGCTCGCGAATTCATAAATGTCTGTAAATATGGCGGTTGGCAAACAACTGGATCGGGATTAAAACAAATTTATCTTACTGTCTGCTGACTGAATGATTGTGTTTAAATGAAAATAACGCTGAACTAGAATCACAGCAAATTACAGTTCCTTATAGGACAACTTCTTCAATACATTGTAAGGCCAATATCATCACAAACATTTCTCCTTTTGGAGGCTGAATTCAATCACTGATTCTTTTACCCGATTTAAAATTAAATTCTGTAAGTAAAATGAAACACTCTTCCTAATATCTGAACATTTTGAAGCATCCCTAAAAATGTTCCCATATCTAAAATATTTTTATCTAAATATTGCTGAACCATACTTAAATCTGAAATATCCTCCTAATTTCTCTTTTTAAACAGCAAAATTAAATCCATATCAATAGCAGGCAAAACGAGATGGATGAGGTGATGATCTAATAACTATTTTACTGACATTTATTTAAAATAATTCAAAATATTTTATAGTACTATCTGCTGTCCATTAACTTGAATGTTGACCACATAACTAACAGAGTTGTTTGATTACCTGATTGTGTTTTTGTTGTTTTTTTTTCATTTAAACGGATGTAGTATTTGGAAAGAATACTTTGATTGGATGAAAAAAAGCTGGGCCTGATTGGCTGATGGTGTGGTTTATTTACATACATTTCTGAATTCGCGAGCGCAGAGACAGAGCCGAGCGCACAGCTGGTGTTGAGGGCGGAGAGAGCAGGTCGACCGCGAGCAGAGGCTGATCCGAGCACGTGCAGAGATGGAACTGAGCGCGACGACAGTGTGCTGAGAAGAGTTTTTCAGAGTTGAGCACGCGCCAGACCGGTTTTGAGTGCACGCGTGTTGTCTCACTGCGCGCTCGGATTGGTTCTTGCGCGCTCAAACCGAAGGCACAAATATCGCTCCATACTCCTGCTCTCGCTACTTAGTAAGCTATATGTGGCCAATCATCCTCTGCCAAGCTTTAAAAATCCCTTTACTATCAATATTTTATTTCTTCCAGCTCAAAAGAGGTTATAGTAAACAGTCTTTAATTTCTACCAAAATGAATCCCTAAATTATATCAAAGCAAATATTCGATTGCATACACTTTTTGGATAAAGACCCAGATGAAAAGGTAAAAAGAATACTAATCTCTCCTTCTCATTTCTTTCTATTCAAATATGATGTAAATATTTCCTTGTATAGTCATTGAAACAATCATCTCCTTTGAATATTTCAACATTTCACTTCAAATATTCTAGAAATTTAAGTCCGGATTGCCATAGCATTATAAGGCAATTATGTAGGTTCTCTGTGAATTTTTTTAATGTCAGAGCCCTATGAATTGAAATCTACTTTGACCCCTGAGCAGTGGTAACAAAGGGGTAAATTCTTAAAGACAAATTTGCCAAAGTGGTAAGAAGAATGTTTTTGTTCTTTGCTTTTTTGGACTAATGAATGTTTTATTGATCTGTGTGTAATGCATAATTCATAGTAGATCAGGAAGTGTTTGCTTTTGGATGAAAAACCTTATATGTCTAAAACCATTCCTTTATTGTAAATTATTTCAGCTGGTCTGTCTGCTATTTTAACCAATAGAAATTTGTTGAACTAGATCTGCTATTTCCACTAATTTTGTGAGACGTTTGTATAAAGCATGGCATTAATTCATAAAAAGTAAATTTGAATTCTATAAATCAATTTTTTTGCCCATCAGCAATGATAAACTGCACAGCAGCATTCTATACCCAGTAATTTTGGTATCTAGGCAAGAGCTGTCAGGCTAGTAAAGAATCTGGTTGTTATTAGAAATTATAGGGTTAACTGTTTTATGAATTGCAACATAAAACTAGACTAAAACCTTTTTGAGTTTTAGTCGACTAAAAATATCACATATAGTAATGACTAAAATGTGACTAAATCCAAGATGGCTGTCAAAAACAACACTGAATGAGATGGAAACAAACATGATCCTGTTCTTTCCTTCTTGTCTTTTTAAATAGAACTGATCTACGTTCAAACTATCTTCTGAACACCAGCATTGCTGGCATTGAAGAAGCTGACGTGCTCCTGCTAGTGGGTACTAACCCTCGCTATGAGGCTCCTCTCTTCAATGCACGCATCAGAAAAAGGTGAATAACCTACATACCTTTTGGCTGTTTAGCTAAATACTGTACTTAACTGCACTTCAATATGACATTATCTCAGCTGGTTGCACAACGAGCTGCACATAGCTTTAGTGGGCAAGGAAGTGGAACTAAGCTACACGTATGATCATCTCGGAGAGTCCGCCAAGGTCCTGAGAGAAATTGCTTCAGGAACACACCCGTTTGCTCAGGTAACCTTTGGGTCATTCACGGTCAGTCGTGTTCCCAGTCATCGACTCTCAACTGTGTTGCTTTTGGCTGTTCTTGCAGCTTTGGGCTCAGGCGAAGCACCCTGTTGTTGTAGTTGGCAGCAGCTGCCTGCAGAGAGAGGACGGGGCTGCGATAATGGCTGCTGTGTCAACTATTGCTCAGAATGCTGGAGTCAGCAGCGGCCAGCAGGAAACCTGGAAGATCCTCAATGTGCTTCATAGGTAAAAATCAGACAACTCTCACTAATAGGACTTTTTCAAAACTGATTTCAATATGTACCATTTTGCTTGTGTCATCAGGGTTGCCAGTCAGGTGGCGGCACTTGATCTTGGATATAAGCCAGGTGTTAAAACAATCAAGGAGAATCCACCCAAAATTTTGTTTCTGCTGGGGGCGGATGCTGGCTGTATTACTCGTCAAGACCTGGCAAAAGACAGCCTGATCATTTATCAAGGTTATCATTTTTTTTTGTTTTATTATATATCATCACAGCATCAGAGGCTCTCTTAGCAAATATACTTAAAGGTTAAGTTGAATTCGGACAGTCCTGCAGACACAGAAGAAAATATGAATAATCTGATATATTTTGGTGCAGAAAGTTTTCATATGGTTGGATTAGTTCAACAATGTGTTAGGCCTGTTGTTTATACAGGATATCAGAGCCTGCGACAGTGTATTATCATCATTATCAAAATATTAATAGTTTTATTTTTCCCTTTTTTTCTTCATGTTTCAAAAAAGAAAAAACAATGTTTTTATTATTTTATGAAGTTGTGCACAATTGTAAAGAGGAAGGATATTTGACAATTTGAATTGACACTCATAATTCCCACAGAATAATGATGCCACTACCGTGTTTTTCTAGTAAGGAGCTCCTGAAATATTATGTTCGCTTTAGAGGGCTTTGCCATGAATTCCATAACGTTCAGTTTTGGTCTTTTGACCAAAGCGCCTTCTTCCATGCTCGCTGTGTCTGTACATGGACCTTTACTCACTTCTTGCCACTCGTCTATAAAGCCCAAACATGTGGAGTGCACTGCTTTTGGTCATGCTGTCAACAGATTGCCCCAGTGCAGCTGTGGATCTCTGCCGCTTCTCTGATAAATGCTAATTTCTCAACCTGCAATTTGCATTGGATAGTTGGCTGTTATTTGTCACTGTACTCTTTTGAGTGCAGTACTGCATTATTACAATTTACAATTAAATTGTACGGTAATAATGAAATAAAATTCATAGTGTGTCAGTTTTCCAGGAAAAAAGGCGTACATGATTAGAGTATAACCTCCTTTATGATCACCCAGGCCACCATGGCGACGTAGGCGCCCCAACAGCCGATGTCATTCTCCCCGGAGCTGCATATACAGAAAAATCTGCCACTTATGTGAACACTGAGGGCCGTGCCCAGCAGACCAAGGTTGCTGTGACTCCTCCTGGAATGGCCAGGGAGGACTGGAGGATCATAAGAGCCATATCTGAGGTCAGGCATAGCAAAGCTCCAAACATAATAATAAAAATAAAGACTGTAGATGGTTATAATGTTGTTTTTACCTTTTTAAGCTGGCCGGCGTGACTCTGCCTTATGACAGTCTTGATGAAGTACGTGACAGACTGGCAGAAGTTTCCCCTAATCTTATTCGATATGATGATATTGAGGAGGCTAACTACTTTAAGCAGGCTAATGAACTGTCCAAGGTCAGCAGCTGTCCTCCTAACTGTGATAGTAGTCCATCACATAAAAAAACAGAAGCATGTTGTTTCATCAGTTTGTACTGGTTTACATCATCTAGGTCTGTTTTTTTATTTCAGGCTGTGAACCAAGCTGACCTCGCTGAACCTTTAGTTCCTCCACAGCTTACTGTGAAGGACTTTTACATGACAGGTGGGTCGTCACAATGCCTCTGACCTGATCTCACTAAACTCATATTGGAATCACACATCCCCAAATATAAGCGTTTTTTTTTTATTTTTTTATTGTACACATTAGACCAAATAATTAACAAAAACTTCAGATTCTTTCATGATTGTTAAATATAAAAGAACTCTTATGTAAACATTGCACTCAACTGCAACTTGATCTTAACATACCATTAATAAAAAGACATATATGTGTTATATATCCAAAATAAACTTTCTGTTTTAGGTTGGCAAGGATTAAGAACTTTGAGAACTTTTTTATACAGACTTCTGATCAGAGCATTTTAAATAAATGGAGGCAAAAAGGAACATCTGGAAATAAAAACATCCTTGACTTGCATTGTGGAAGTAGAAAAGAAACAGGACAGATAACAGGAAAATGTTTACCCCTATAGGTCTTTTATCCTTTGGTAAAAGTTTTAGATTGCTAAAGGTGTCCTTTTTTATCTGCTTCTAGACATTTAGGTGCAAATATGAAAAGTTATAGCTAGAATGTGCAGTACATTCTAGTACCAAGTCACACAGCTTGGATTCATTTTGACCAAATATTGGTGGATAATATTTTTAAAGTATTTCATTATGCTGGAATTTATAAAATATATATAAAAAAGAATTTTTAAACCTCACATAACACAGGAAAATGGTTTATTTTTAATGTTAGACAGCAATGAGAAGTGTTTTTGTTTTGTTTTTTGAACCATCTGAATCTGCTGGTTTCAACTGCAAATCCAGCTACAGTGATGACTTTAATATTTCACGTAATCAGCTGAAAAAGTTTGTTAGGCAGTTTTTGTTGACTTATTTTCATATAATTTTGCAACACCAACACTAGATTTTTTTTTTTTCAATCAGAAAGTAGTGTTTGCAACTGTTTTTTTTAATAGATTTAGATTTGTTACCACATCCTCTGATTGTTCTGCTTTGATGCTCCTGTGTTTGGATTGAAAGTTATGTTTTATGAAATGTTCAATAACGAATCTGGAGGGTTAAACTTAGTGTGACATGATATTTAATGGTTGCTGTGCAAGTAGAAGCAAAATGAATCCAAATAAGTATAAAAATGTGTTCCAAATCCCTTAAAGATTTGTAAAAAAAAAAAAAAAAAAAAAAAAAGCATTTTAAAAAAGTATTTTATTGCAGGAGTATAATCCCTGAAAAATGCTAATAAGCATAATAATTTAAAAGGTCTAACAAAGACTAATAACCTAAAAACGCATAATTGGGACTATAATAAATTAATAAATGCAATTGAAGCAATTTTCACTTTAGTTACCAGTTGATCAAAGTGCAGTTTGGCGTCACCAACTCGACAATGAATCCATTTGGTACCACCTGCAGCGATGCAGCGGAAAAGGGTTTTCTCTCACCATCACCAAGCATTTCCAAATCAAATGCTGCAGAAGGAACTGCAGTCCACCTAAAAGTAAATATGTAAATTAGTATGAACTGTTGGGAATATTATTAAGATAGAAATATTGGCCCCATGTTTCTATTTGGAATACTGTCACACGCAGTGAGGGATAGGTACTTTTAATGTTTAAAAAGATTCAATAGAAATCCCTAGATGCCAGCCTTCACTTGCAGAGCCTGCTTGGATCCTGTTCCCAGAGCGACTATTATGCAGATGGGTCATAATTATTAGAGTTGAGTCAGCCAACGTGGCACTTTTTGAGACCCATTTGCTCATCACAAACACTTGCAAAGCTTTGTAATGAAAATGTGTTTGATTGTTAAAAGTACATTTATAGGTTACATTGTAAAGATGCAATTTGAAAATCAGCTCCTAGATTATTATGTGAATGACTTTGCATCTATTTAAGCATGTTTTTTCGGAGAGTCATCATGTTGTAGCAGCTCAGCAGGATCACTGAAGTAGCATCAATGCTACAGATCCGACAATCTCCTTTATGCAGCTTTTTATGGATGCATGCTTGTTTACGTCTTATCTGCTTTAATTGAATATTTATATTCTAATCCACCAAATTTTTTTTCTACTTGACTTAAAGTGTCCCTTTGATTTAAAATGTGTATGTATACGTTTGTAAATGCGCATTTAGAAACATGCAGAGGAATATTTACAGTTTACATCCAACAAAGGCTGTTTCCATAATTTTTTTATGGTGTTGTCGACCTTAAATGTGATTCAGCTTCAATGTTCAATTTTAAATCCGGTTTGATGTTATTTAGATCAAAATAATTAAATGGAGCCATATTTGATTTATTTGGGGTAAGCTATAGTACTTTTCAGCATGTTAACCTATGGATTTAAAAAGTTTGCATGACTTTGACAGATTTTCATGGCAGGTGAAAAGTGTTCCTGGATTTCTGAACACTTTTGCACAAATTTAGTAATCGATTAACGGTTAACTGGAGTATAGAGAGTGTAAAACATTCCTTTAGCGGACAGAGCAACCCACATAGAGCAGTAATTATATCAAAATTGTTAAAAAATATGTCTAAACATTTTGCATTTAAGATAAAAAAAATCTTTTTTGTCTATCAGTATGCTCTATCCTGAACTCCTCAAGTGGAAAAGTGTTAGTTTCACCTGGTTTAATTTGGCAAAAATTCTCCTTTAAGGAACCTTTGGCTATCTGATCATTATGCGATTAATGGAAAAAAATAATCAACAAATTTATCGATTTTGCAAAATAATTGTTACTTGCTGCCCTAATATATGTGTATGTATANCGCGCCAGACCGGTTTTGAGTGCACGCGTGTTGTCTCACTGCGCGCTCGGATTGGTTCTTGCGCGCTCAAACCGAAGGCACAAATATCGCTCCATACTCCTGCTCTCGCTACTTAGTAAGCTATATGTGGCCAATCATCCTCTGCCAAGCTTTAAAAATCCCTTTACTATCAATATTTTATTTCTTCCAGCTCAAAAGAGGTTATAGTAAACAGTCTTTAATTTCTACCAAAATGAATCCCTAAATTATATCAAAGCAAATATTCGATTGCATACACTTTTTGGATAAAGACCCAGATGAAAAGGTAAAAAGAATACTAATCTCTCCTTCTCATTTCTTTCTATTCAAATATGATGTAAATATTTCCTTGTATAGTCATTGAAACAATCATCTCCTTTGAATATTTCAACATTTCACTTCAAATATTCTAGAAATTTAAGTCCGGATTGCCATAGCATTATAAGGCAATTATGTAGGTTCTCTGTGAATTTTTTTAATGTCAGAGCCCTATGAATTTAAATCTACTTTGACCCCTGAGCAGTGGTAACAAAGGGGTAAATTCTTAAAGACAAATTTGCCAAAGTGGTAAGAAGAATGTTTTTGTTCTTTGCTTTTTTGGACTAATGAATGTTTTATTGATCTGTGTGTAATGCATAATTCATAGTAGATCAGGAAGTGTTTGCTTTTGGATGAAAAACCTTATATGTCTAAAACCATTCGTTTATTGTAAATTATTTCAGCTGGTCTGTCTGCTATTTTAACCATTTGAAATTTGTTGAACTAGATCTGCTATTTACACTAATTTTGTGAGACGTTTGTATAAAGCATGGCATTAATTCATAAAAAGTTTATTTGAATTCTATAAATCAATTTTTTTGCCCATCAGCAATGATAAACTGCACAGCAGCATTCTATACCCAGTAATTTTGGTATCTAGGCAAGAGCTGTCAGGCTAGTAAAGAATCTGGTTGTTATTAGAAATTATAGGGTTAACTGTTTTATGAATTGCAACATAAAACTAGACTAAAACCTTTTTGATTTTTAGTTGACTAAAAATATGTCATATAGTAATGACTAAAATGTGACTAAATCCAAGATGGCTGTCAAAAACAACACTGAATGAGATGGAAACAAACATGATCCTGTTCTTTCCTTCTTGTCTTTTTAAATAGAACTGATCTACGTTCAAACTATCTTCTGAACACCAGCATTGCTGGCATTGAAGAAGCTGACGTGCTCCTGCTAGTGGGTACTAACCCTCGCTATGAGGCTCCTCTCTTCAATGCACGCATCAGAAAAAGGTGAATAACCTACATACCTTTTGGCTGTTTAGCTAAATACTGTACTTAACTGCACTTCAATATGACATTATCTCAGCTGGTTGCACAACGAGCTGCACATAGCTTTAGTGGGCAAGGAAGTGGAACTAAGCTACACGTATGATCATCTCGGAGAGTCCGCCAAGGTCCTGAGAGAAATTGCTTCAGGAACACACCCGTTTGCTCAGGTAACCTTTGGGTCATTCACGGTCAGTCGTGTTCCCAGTCATCGACTCTCAACTGTGTTGCTTTTGGCTGTTCTTGCAGCTTTGGGCTCAGGCGAAGCACCCTGTTGTTGTAGTTGGCAGCAGCTGCCTGCAGAGAGAGGACGGGGCTGCGATAATGGCTGCTGTGTCAACTATTGCTCAGAATGCTGGAGTCAGCAGCGGCCAGCAGGAAACCTGGAAGATCCTCAATGTGCTTCATAGGTAAAAATCAGACAACTCTCACTAATAGGACTTTTTCAAAACTGATTTCAATATGTACCATTTTGCTTGTGTCATCAGGGTTGCCAGTCAGGTGGCGGCACTTGATCTTGGATATAAGCCAGGTGTTAAAACAATCAAGGAGAATCCACCCAAAATTTTGTTTCTGCTGGGGGCGGATGCTGGCTGTATTACTCGTCAAGACCTGGCAAAAGACAGCCTGATCATTTATCAAGGTTATCATTTTTTTTTTGTTTTATTATATATCATCACAGCATCAGAGGCTCTCTTAGCAAATATACTTAAAGGTTAAGTTGAATTCGGACAGTCCTGCAGACACAGAAGAAAATATGAATAATCTGATATATTTTGGTGCAGAAAGTTTTCATATGGTTGGATTAGTTCAACAATGTGTTAGGCCTGTTGTTTATACAGGATATCAGAGCCTGCGACAGTGTATTATCATCATTATCAAAATATTAATAGTTTTATTTTTCCCTTTTTTTCTTCATGTTTCAAAAAAGAAAAAACAATGTTTTTATTATTTTATGAAGTTGTGCACAATTGTAAAGAGGAAGGATATTTGACAATTTGAATTGACACTCATAATCCCCACAGAATAATGATGCCACTACCGTGTTTTTCTAGTAAGGAGCTCCTGAAATATTATGTTCGCTTTAGAGGGCTTTGCCATGAATTCCATAACGTTCAGTTTTGGTCTTTTGACCAAAGCGCCTTCTTCCATGCTCGCTGTGTCTGTACATGGACCTTTACTCACTTCTTGCCACTCGTCTATAAAGCCCAAACATGTGGAGTGCACTGCTTTTGGTCATGCTGTCAACAGATTGCCCCAGTGCAGCTGTGGATCTCTGCCGCTTCTCTGATAAATGCTAATTTCTCAACCTGCAATTTGCATTGGATAGTTGGCTGTTATTTGTCACTGTACTCTTTTGAGTGCAGTACTGCATTATTACAATTTACAATTAAATTGTACGGTAATAATGAAATAAAATTCATAGTGTGTCAGTTTTCCAGGAAAAAAGGCGTACATGATTAGAGTATAACCTCCTTTATGATCACCCAGGCCACCATGGCGACGTAGGCGCCCCAACAGCCGATGTCATTCTCCCCGGAGCTGCATATACAGAAAAATCTGCCACTTATGTGAACACTGAGGGCCGTGCCCAGCAGACCAAGGTTGCTGTGACTCCTCCTGGAATGGCCAGGGAGGACTGGAGGATCATAAGAGCCATATCTGAGGTCAGGCATAGCAAAGCTCCAAACATAATAATAAAAATAAAGACTGTAGATGGTTATAATGTTGTTTTTACCTTTTTAAGCTGGCCGGCGTGACTCTGCCTTATGACAGTCTTGATGAAGTACGTGACAGACTGGCAGAAGTTTCCCCTAATCTTATTCGATATGATGATATTGAGGAGGCTAACTACTTTAAGCAGGCTAATGAACTGTCCAAGGTCAGCAGCTGTCCTCCTAACTGTGATAGTAGTCCATCACCAATAAAAAAAAACAGAAGCATGTTGTTTCATCAGTTTGTACTGGTTTACATCATCTAGGTCTGTTTTTTTATTTCAGGCTGTGAACCAAGCTGACCTCACTGAACCTTTAGTTCCTCCACAGCTTACTGTGAAGGACTTTTACATGACAGGTGGGTCGTTACAATGCCTCTGACCTGATCTCACTAAACTCATATTGGAATCACACATCCCCAAATATAAGCGTTTTTTTTTTATTTTTTTATTGTACACATTAGACCAAATAATTAACAAAAACTTCAGATTCTTTCATGATTGTTAAATATAAAAGAACTCTTATGTAAACATTGCACTCAACTGCAACTTGATCTTAACATACCATTAATAAAAAGACATATATGTGTTATTTATCCAAAATAAACGTTCTGTTTTAGGTTGGCAAGGATTAAGAACTTTGAGAACTTTTTTATACAGACTTCTGATCAGAGCATTTTAAATAAATGGAGGCAAAAAGGAACATCTGGAAATAAAAACATCCTTGACTTGCATTGTGGAAGTAGAAAAGAAACAGGACAGATAACAGGAAAATGTTTACCCCTATAGGTCTTTTATCCTTTGGTAAAAGTTTTAGATTGCTAAAGGTGTCCTTTTTTATCTGCTTCTAGACATTTAGGTGCAAATATGAAAAGTTATAGCTAGAATGTGCAGTACATTCTAGTACCAAGTCACACAGCTTGGATTCATTTTGACCAAATATTGGTGGATAATATTTTTAAAGTATTTCATTATGCTGGAATTTATAAAATATATATAAAAAAGAATTTTTAAACCTCACATAACACAGGAAAATGGTTTATTTTTAATGTTAGACAGCAATGAGAAGTGTTTTTGTTTTGTTTTTTGAACCATCTGAATCTGCTGGTTTCAACTGCAAATCCAGCTACAGTGATGACTTTAATATTTCACGTAATCAGCTGAAAAAGTTTGTTAGGCAGTTTTTGTTGACTTATTTTCATATAATTTTGCAACACCAACACTAGATTTTTTTTTTTTCAATCAGAAAGTAGTGTTTGCAACTGTTTTTTTTAATAGATTTAGATTTGTTACCACATCCTCTGATTGTTCTGCTTTGATGCTCCTGTGTTTGGATTGAAAGTTATGTTTTATGAAATGTTCAATAACGAATCTGGAGGGTTAAACTTAGTGTGACATGATATTTAATGGTTGCTGTGCAAGTAGAAGCAAAATGAATCCAAATAAGTATAAAAATGTGTTCCAAATCCCTTAAAGATTTGTAAAAAAAAAAAAAAAAAAAAAAAAAGCATTTTAAAAAAGTATTTTATTGCAGGAGTATAATCCCTGAAAAATGCTAATAAGCATAATAATTTAAAAGGTCTAACAAAGACTAATAACCTAAAAACGCATAATTGGGACTATAATAAATTAATAAATGCAATTGAAGCAATTTTCACTTTAGTTACCAGTTGATCAAAGTGCAGTTTGGCGTCACCAACTCGACAATGAATCCATTTGGTACCACCTGCAGCGATGCAGCGGAAAAGGGTTTTCTCTCACCATCACCAAGCATTTCCAAATCAAATGCTGCAGAAGGAACTGCAGTCCACCTAAAAGTAAATATGTAAATTAGTATGAACTGTTGGGAATATTATTAAGATAGAAATATTGGCCCCATGTTTCTATTTGGAATACTGTCACACGCAGTGAGGGATAGGTACTTTTAATGTTTAAAAAGATTCAATAGAAATCCCTAGATGCCAGCCTTCACTTGCAGAGCCTGCTTGGATCCTGTTCCCAGAGCGACTATTATGCAGATGGGTCATAATTATTAGAGTTGAGTCAGCCAACGTGGCACTTTTTGAGACCCATTTGCTCATCACAAACACTTGCAAAGCTTTGTAATGAAAATGTGTTTGATTGTTAAAAGTACATTTATAGGTTACATTGTAAAGATGCAATTTGAAAATCAGCTCCTAGATTATTATGTGAATGACTTTGCATCTATTTAAGCATGTTTTTTCGGAGAGTCATCATGTTGTAGCAGCTCAGCAGGATCACTGAAGTAGCATCAATGCTACAGATCCGACAATCTCCTTTATGCAGCTTTTTATGGATGCATGCTTGTTTACGTCTTATCTGCTTTAATTGAATATTTATATTCTAATCCACCAAATTTTTTTTCTACTTGACTTAAAGTGTCCCTTTGATTTAAAATGTGTATGTATACGTTTGTAAATGCGCATTTAGAAACATGCAGAGGAATATTTACAGTTTACATCCAACAAAGGCTGTTTCCATAATTTTTTTATGGTGTTGTCGACCTTAAATGTGATTCAGCTTCAATGTTCAATTTTAAATCCGGTTTGATGTTATTTAGATCAAAATAATTAAATGGAGCCATATTTGATTTATTTGGGGTAAGCTATAGTACTTTTCAGCATGTTAACCTATGGATTTAAAAAGTTTGCATGACTTTGACAGATTTTCATGGCAGGTGAAAAGTCTTCCTGAATTTCTGAACACTTTTGCACAAATTTAGTAATCGATTAACGGTTAACTGGAGTATAGAGAGTGTAAAACATTCCTTTAGCAGACAGAGCGACCCACTTAGAGCAGTAATTATATCAAAATTGTTAAAAAATATGTCTAAACATTTTGCATTTAAGATAAAAAAAAATCTTTTTTGTCTGTCAGTATGCTCTATCCTGAACTCCTCGAGTGGAAAAGTGTTAGTTTCACCTGGTTTAATTTAGCAAAAATTCTCCTTTAAGGAACCTTTGGCTATCTGATCATTAAGTGAATAATGGAAAAAAATAATCAACAAATTTATCGATTTTGCAAAATAATTGTTACTTGCTGCCCTAATATATGTGTGTATATATATCTATATATAGATAGATAGATATATATATATATATAGATATATATACTTATACTATGTTTCTTTTTTTTTTCATTTTAAAATGTTGAATCTGCTGTTTAACTTTTTAATCTTTCAGGCAGTGATTCCCATTTAAAATCTGCTTTTAATATGTACTCCTAGATCCCATAAGCAGAGCCTCACAGACTATGGCGAAATGTGTAAAAGCCGTCACAGAGGGAGCACAAGCTGTGGAGGAGCCGGCAGTTTGCTAAAGCACAAACAAGAGCTGTCAAATGATGCGCACAACTTTTAAATTTGCACTTTTACTTTATGCATACTGTTTTGCACAGTGGAGCAGATGTTCTGTAATAGGGGCATTGTGTTACAATATATTATCAGCTTGTATTTAATAGAAATTCTGAGATGCGCTTTAAATAACTTCTCTCATTTTAACTAATCTGACCTTAAACTGTGAAATCATTATGGGGTATATTTATTTTTTTTCTGTAAGATGTTAGAAGATGTTTTTATTAGGTAAACAAAGTATATTTTGTGTATATTTTTGAAGAAAAAAAAATGTAGGAAGTCAAATAAATGGTTTAAAACCTATTTAAGTGTGTACTTTTGGAAGTGGTGTACAATTTAATTATTTTATGTAACAGTTATTGAAGTTTTCTAGATGCCAGTGTGTGTTTATGATTGACACCGTATCTGTCATCAGTGAACAGCGGGGCAACAGGAGGGCTGAGAACTCATGTGAACGATGAAAGTCGGAGTCCAGGTGGATTTTTTTATCCTCTGCCGAACTCCATGGTTTCTATGTCTAACATGTGAACCGCACTGTCTTCCATGCTCTACATAAATAGTTTCTTATCCTCATAGTTGCACACTGCATGGATTTTAACAAAGTTACATTTCCAATATGGTAGGATAGGTTGTTGTTGTAGAGCGCCTTGTTGTCATGTCCCCGCAGTGCCTGTAGTGGTGCTGTGAGGAGTCTGTTGTGGATCCAACAAATGTCCTCAGCAGCCTACCTACGGCTTGTAATTTGCGCTGGTTAGCCTGTGTTTTCATGGCTCCTTATTTCAAGAAAATCCGAGCTCGATGAAGACCGCCGTTTACCATCCTACCTGGATTATTGATGCCCGAGTAGCTTAGCTGATTCTAATAGACATTTCGGCCGACTATCTGGAGCGAATACCGTGCACAGCCCAAACCTATTCAAGGTAAGCGGAGTCGTGAAAAGCCTCGGCATCGATTTCTGAGGGCGCCGCATTGCATTGGCCTCAAACGGGCTGGCTGCTTACCAGAGGCCGCCGTCCAATCGAGGTTAATAGGCCTCTTCTAATAAACGGATTTGCTCCTGTATTTAAGAACATAATTACATTTTCGTTGTCCTGTTAATAATTGAGTTGCGTAAATTATACTTTTCAGTCTCTAACAGTTTTCTAAAGTCATATTATGTAATGACAGTGGCTTCAACTCATATCGACTATTGCAAAGGCCTCAGTGGAACGGGCCCTAATCCTCGTATCCATACCCTTTGTTTTAAGCATTTCTCCATAAATCTATTAATTTGGTTAAATTATCAGTACGAGTCTCGATAAGCTGCGGCTGATATCTTATTTAAATGCATGTGTTTTTCGAAATAAATCTAAACTGGAAATGGTCCTGTGTTTGGATATATTTCCGTTTCCTGGTTAGCTACCGCCTACTAATTTGTGTTTTTAGCTTAGTTAGCTAACCTGAACATTTATATTTTCCTGTTTAGTCTTTGTTGAAAACTTGTGTATCTCACTAACACGTTTAAGAGTAAAGCTTAAACATTTGGGAGACCGGGAAAAATAACATATACATTTGTTAGTGTCGTAAGTGTATAAAGTTTTAGAGCCTTCTGTCGTTCGCTAAGCTAACGTGACAAGCTAACAGTATTAAGGTATGAGTAAAGCTAACTTAATATCAGTTAGCTCCTCCTTTGAAAAACAGAAATATCCACAATTTACATTTAAACTTCCCATTGTATGTAAACATGTATTTGATATGATACAAAGGTTTGTCAGAACAACTTCTAAATATACATAGCAGATATGAAAGGACTAGGAGGAGAAATTAATTTACAGGGACTTTGACTTTTTAAAACATTTTGTAATATTCACATTATTAATATATCACAATCAATAATTTGATTGCAACAAAACTAGTAGAAATCCGCTCACCATGTGTGTAGTTATAACCACAAACATTAGTGTTGCATATTAGTAGTTTGTGTTTCAGATAAACACAAAAGGCCCTTACAGCAAAATAATGTTTTCTATGTTATTCAAAATAAAAAAAAGTGGTGGATGCATTTCTATTTACAGGGTACAGGAAACATGGCAAATATTTTGTTCAATAGAAAAATAAGCTTTATTACACTTGTAAGGTTACAGTGGAATTTTGTTTGACAGTATCTCTTCTATCTGTCAGTAGGTACACAGTAGGTATACAGAGGGGTTCTGGAAGAAAAGCCTGAGATTTGGACAAATGTTGACCTTCCATTGAGACAGTGACCCTAAACACATTAGTGATCCTAATGGTCCGGTTAAAGTCCTGACCCAAATCCTGTTTACAGTTTATGGAAGGATTATAATAAAAAAATTACTGGTCAGGAATTATAAATGTACTTTACACCTTTAGAATGTAAATTTCTGTGGGAAAATAAAAATCACAATTATGTAAAACAATCTGGTTTGTTATAATAAACAAATATTTAGCTGGAAGTTTACAAAATATATTTTAAAAAACAAATATGTGTGACTACTTTTTTGAGTGGCTATAGATTACAAAATGATTAACGAGATGGACTGAATGACCATTTTATGCGCATAGATGGTGCTAAAGTTTTGGAATTTAATAACTTTAATTTGCTCCTTTTTTCTGCCAGCTGATGTTTTCAAGGACAAGAGTCACGTGATGTATGAAGGCAAACACATACACTTCTCAGAGGTGGACAATAAGCCGCTGTGCTCCTATAGTCCAAAGTTGTGCAAGCAGCGCCGGTTAAATGGGTATGCTTTCTGCATCCGGCATGTTCTGGAGGACAAGACGGCTCCTTTCAAGCAGTGCGAATATGTTGCAAAGTACAACAGCCAGCGATGCACCAACCCCATCCCCAAGTCTGAGGATCGCAGGTGGGTTTTCAGTCTGCTTATAAAAAACAGTAGTCTGTTTTGTTTTATAAATACCTGAGGGAACGTTTCCTATTTTCCAGATACTGTAACAGCCACCTGCAGGTTCTCGGCTTTATCCCGAAGAAAGAACGCAAGAAAAAACACGATGCTTTAGAGGAAATGCGTCCACGGGCTCACCTGGAGTCGGTGGCTCTCAACATAACTGTGCCCTCTTTAGCTCTGAGAGCGACCAATGGCATAGATGAACTTCCACCATCTCCCCCCTGCTCACGCCTGTTACCCCTCGCCGATGGCGAACTCCTGGACCCTTTTGCCTTCTATGAGGATGAAATGGATGGAGAGGAGGTGGGCGCTCCTCGAAAGGGGAGCAGCATCAAGAAGAAGCTACAGAGTCGGCTGGCGCTCAACCAGAAACTCCCCCAAGACACAGAACTTTTCCAGCCAACGCCTGAGCACTTTACGGTCTCGCCAGTTCCGCGCATCCACCCCTCGTCACCGCTCAACGCTCATTTACCGCGACAGGCATCGGGTCTCTTACAGCCACCTCAGCAGTGCGGCGTGACATCTTTTTCCTTCCCAGCACAGCAGCAGGGTTTATTATGCAATCCACCACCACCTCAGACAGTCAACTTTCTGCCTCCGGGGATGCCTGCAAACGCATTGCCCAGTTCAGCGCAATATTTTGGACCATCGCTCAGCAGGAAAATGCCTTCCGCTGCGACACAACCGCCTGTCTCCTGCAAGGATGGTGGCAGTACCAATCAGAGGCACATGGTCGTCATGCACCCCACGGCCTTCTCCCCTTCTGCCCACTGCCTTGCTAGGTTGCAACACCTGGTGCAGCTCTGTGCTAAGAGACAGAGAGAGCACGGAGATCTCTTCTCACATCTAGGTAACTTGCCTTAATGTTGCATGTCCAAATCACTAGTGCTAATACAGTGAGATCCGTTAAGCCTATACAAGCTTTTTGAGATAGATGAGCCGATCTAAACAGCTCTGTTCCAGGTCTGGATTGGTCAGAAGACAGCGCCGATGACGATGACGAAGAGGATGTGGAGAGAGCTGCTCCTTTTCAGAGTCCATGGAGACCAGAGAACAGGTCTGTCTCTTTAAAGTGCTTAACCTCACCATATAACGTCGAAACGTCTCGACGTCATGTTAATGTTATTCTCCTGTGCAGCTTGGAGGGCGATGGCGGTTCTTCGCGTAGAGCGCGCCTCCTGCGGCTTTGCTCCTACCTGCGGGAGAAGTACAAGCACATGTGTAGACAGGATAGGGCGAGTATCCGTCAGAAGAGGTATCGTTATGCCTTCCGGAAAGCCTTGCTGCACGCCGCCAACAGCAACCCAGACTGCGCGGGGCAGCTGATCCAGGAGCTGGGTGGAAACTCTCATAGCCATTCATGGTAAATCCCCACACTGGACAGAGAAGAAGCTGTCTTTGGTAAAACATTTTGTAATGTCAACAGAAAAGTGCTAGGCTCTGAGTCCAGGATGTGTTTGTCTTTACAGTGGGCTTCCAGCAAGGCCCCGGAGCACAGAAGCGGCGACTTGTACCGGCTCCACCAAGGGCCAGACCTGCACCAACAGAGCTCTGCCCTTCACTCAGCACTGTTTTCAGCGTATCCTCTGCTCTGCTTTGTATTATGTTGGAGCTTGATGCTCAGAATGACGGATTAAATTCTGTTTTTTCTGATTATTTACTCCACCTCACTAAAGTCTTTTCTTTATAGTTTTCTCTCCAGAATATTTCGTTTTGTTTCCTATATTATCTGATAAAGACATACTGTTGAATCGTTCTCAGCAACTATTTGCTAGTTGCACAGCCAAATTTGCAGATGGTCAACAGTGCTCCATCCCCGTGTTTGATATCACACACCAGACGCCGCTCTGTGAAGAGCATGCCAAAAAGATGGTGAGTTCAGCAGCTGATCAATTGCATTTTGGGGAGTTTAAAAAAAATGTTCCAAAGGAAATTTAGTTTTTTTTCTGTTTATCCGGCTCAGGATAATTTTCTAAGGGGTGACGGCAATCGGAGGGTGCAGCACCAGCAACAGAGAAAGCCACGGAAAAAGACCAAACCGCCAGCACTCACCAAAAAACACAAGAAGAAAAGAAGGAGAGTGCCGCAGAGGCCCCAGAAACCCATCCCGCCAGCGCTGCCGCAGGGAAACCTGGGAATGCCTTTGACGAGCCTCGTGATGCCCCCACAGGCTGGCATCAGGTCCGCCTTTTATAAAAAAAAAAAGATGGATTATATCTAAATATAAATTTAAGAGTTGGCTATTGTAATGTGCTAATTATACTGTTTTTTCTGCTGCAGGAGCCCCTCAACCCCAGACCTGAGCACAGACGAACTTCCTGATGACATCACCAACGACATGGCAGACATTCCAAATGACCTAGAGTTAAACCAGGAGGATTTCTCAGATGTGTTGCCGCGGCTACCTGATGACCTGCAAGATTTCGACTTATTTGAAGGTTTGTATCCGTTTCTTTTTGCCGCAGTGAATGAATATGTATGGAACTCATTTTCTCAGGCTGGATAAGAGTGGAAACAGCGATACCCATCCTGTTTGTCTAAAAGCCTGCACTCAGGAGAAACATTATATCCTATTTATACCCAAGAAGCAGACTGGTGTTTTATGGAAACAGGATCATTTAGAATCTGTGTGACAGCTTGATGTTAAATGTCTTTGCAGTGAAGAACGGGGAGCTGCTTCCCACCACAGAGGAGGCTGAGGAACTGGTCCGTGCCCTGCAGGCCATGGGCTCCTACCCAGACTCGCTGGTGTGCCTGACCTCCATGGCCGATCTGGCCTCGGCGGACGGAGTGGACAACCGTGCCCTGACGGTGTTTCCTGGCCCGGTCCAACCGGGCGGCATGGGGGACCTGCTCAACACACGCATCCCTGCTGAGAACTTCACCAGCCTGGAGTTGGAGGACAATCTGCTACAGGCCGCCGGGAACCACTTCTCCCCATCTCTGCCATCCCAGCCGGCCAACCAGCCCCCTCCATCGTGCTCCACGCTGACCTCGCCTTCCTCCGTGGCGGCCACCACCAGCATCCCCCTGCTCACGCAGACCTCCATAACAGAGAGGACGTTTTCTCGGACGCATGTCCTGGCAAAGTCTGAGGTTTCCGCCTCGTCTCCGCAGGTCAGCCACTACAGCAGCGAGCATGTGCCATCCCCGTACAGTGAACACATATCGTCCCCGCACGCCGCCTCCTTCCACACAGACACCCCCCTGCTGCTGGAGGTCCCTCTCAGCGGGGTTCCGGGGACCCCCCGCTCTACATGGAACAACCTCCCCCTCACAGACCCCACGCCGTTCGGCAATCTCATCAGGTCGGAGAGTCACCTCATCACCACTTCCTTGTCCACGCCGCCCGCCACCACCCATTCTGTAACGCTGCAGCCGATGGCGGCTTTGTCGGCGATGCCTCAGGGCGCCGTGACGGGTTTAACCGCTCCCCCTGTCCCCTCGTCCTCTTCCTCCTCCTCACACGAACACCTGTTGACCCCCACACAGCCCAAGCAGCAGCTCCCTCAGTTCAGCGCGGCCTTCGGCCATCAACTGGCCTCCCACAGCGGCATCCCGAAAGACGTGCAGCCCAGTCACAGCTCCACGGCGCCCCCTGCCGGCTTCTCAATAGTTAGTGCCACCACTGCAAGTGCCAACAGCGCCACGCCGCCCTTCACGCAAAGTAAATGATTAAGCAGCAGCTGCGGTGGGCTCACAGTTATCTCCAATCCAGCCGACCGGCTTCTGATTTTATCTGCTTTATGTGTGCAATGTGGTTCTAGTGCACTATTTGCTAAAGGATTTGCACAATCTCTAACCCCCCAACCCCCCTGTCTTTTCCTTTTTTTCCCCCCCTCCTGTAGCCGGACGGATTTCAGATTTGAAGTAGCTGTGAGTCCCCTCCACCCTCTGTGTTCTGTATGTTTGCGGAGCAGCGCTTTAGATTATTTGATGACTTAAAAGACATTAGCAAAGATTATTTATAACCATGACAGAAAACCCCAGATGCCGCTCTGTTTGCTTCACACCCCCTCCCCTTCTCAGATGGCCATTTGCACCCCCACCCCTTCCCTCCGTTTTAAAGAGTAGACATTGTGATGTTTTTTGTAACCCATTATGTTTCAAGCTATTTAACCGTCTTCATGATACGGATTCAGTCCAATTTAATCATCACCCAAACACTTTTTTTTAACGGCTGATTTTAATATAGTGTATATTATATGTGCTCATTTATTGGTTCTGCTCGGACGTGATAAAGTCTCTGACCTCACTGTCGGATGCGGCACTGTGAGTGGCTTAGTAGACACTTGAAGGTAGTAGTTTCTTAAAGCAATAAAAATACACATTACCATCACCTGCAGGATTGTGAGGTATTTTTCCTGATGTCACTGCATGTAGCTCCGCTTCCTGAAACCAGCCAGATCAGGTTGTTTCTGTTTAGTTTTTTTTCTTTAGGGCCTCTATGGCTCAAACTCCAGATTTTTACAACAGTTTCACTCAGGCCATCTCTTATTTCTAAGGAGTTAACTCTCAAGGTGAATACATGAGCGACCGTTTCAATGAGGAGGAAGATGGTGATGAATGCAGGGGCTTTTAAGTGTCTACGCTAGAAAGGTCCACATGTACCACAGTCTTCATCGGCTCAGGAAAGAAGACTTTGGTGGTGGGGATTGGGCATTCAGCGCCTTGCAAACATAATCACAACGCTTTCTTTTCCTAGTTTTCTCATGTTGCGACCATAACCTCCATGCTCTCTTTTTGGGATCTTAAGTGGCTTTCAGTTAGATTCTTCTGAACTTTAACTAGGCCAAATTAGCACAGGAAAATGTTTAGATCCAAACATTTCAATCGCTTGGGCCGATGTTCTTTTTAATAGATGGAGAGGACATCTTTAAAAATGTTTTTTTGGAAGTTTCTAAACAGCTTTCTTTATGCCACCCTTTTAACGCTTCTGGACTGTTCCTCTTAGCCACTGGTCAGACGTCCATGTCCAATCAAAAGCTTTGAATCTGATTATGTCAATTTCAAAGTCTGGAAACTCATGTTGAAGTTGAACACATGAAGAAATGTTGTGAGTTTCCAGACTTGCATCGGTGTCTTACAATCCAAAATGTTTCCATGCAAATTATCTGAGGCCCTTATTTGAGCTGTTTTAGTCCATTTATGCCTAACTCTTTATAGGCATGTACTTTCCAGATGGGAATCTATTTATTTAACAACTCCTCCTCCTGTCCACCATCTTTACCTGCTTCTATAATCGCACAAAGTGTAGAAATTGTATTTTTAACATCACCTCTTGATAATAATCAAACGATTTAAATGTCCAGAATTTTATTTCTGGGTTCTTTAAAAAAAAAAAAAAAATCATGAAAACAATTTTAAATGTTCCTCCTTATATGGACGTCTTGTTAAACACTGAGGCTGTGGTTTCAACATGACCAATGAGGGGGAAAAAGGGTGTGAATACTTTTGCCAGGCCCTGCATAAATGAACAAAAGGTGGTATGATTTGTACATCTCAAGTAAATCACTGTTTTATCTCGCCATGTGATTTTTAAGCTACAGGATGTAAAGCTGGGGTCTGATTTTAGCTTTTGCAAACAAATCCCTCCCCCTCCTCCGCTAACTTATACAGCAGTATAACAATGACTTTTGATAGATTTAAATACATATATAAATATATATATTATATATGATAGACATTGACAAATTGTTGAATACTTGGTATATAGAATATAAGTCTCTATCTTGGGGTTTGTTGGTGAACTCTTCAGTAGCAATGGGTGGAAGTTATTTGCAACATGTCAGAGTGGAGATTGTATTTTGTGGAGTGAGTTGTTTTTTTTTTTTAATAGCTATCAAAATGATTGAATCTTTGTGAAAGAGGTGCTGTGGGTTTCATCCTCGCCAGTAATCTGACAGGAAGTGGTTTTTGATAGCTATTAAACATCCGGAGGGTGTCGCACAGCACAGCAGCATTCAGTGGTCGTTACTGACTGGATTCACCTATTTAAGAAAACAGTGGATTATATCTACAGGAATTTTAATAGCTGGTATTTTTTCTCCCCCCCACCTCATTTTATCTGGCTTAAGACATTCATTACATGAACAGCTGATATAATTACCAGACCCTCCCCCACCTGTTTCCAGCTGTGAGGAGGCCCAGTTCTGTCTGTCTCCCTTTCTAAAAAGAGATCTGGCTCTAAACTGATGGGGAGGCTTTTACTGCAGCCTCGTCTCCGATGCTAACAATACTGCTGTAACCGTAAGGCATGAGATTAGTCCCTGCAGCAGACAAAGCCACGTAGAACAGCGACCTTCCAGCAGGGCTCGTAGGAGCACGGAAACCGCTCCAGTTCAAAGATGGCGGACGATATTCCTATATTCATTGAATGTACTGTATTACTGTTTCTAAAGATAGGACGAGCTAATCTAGTCACCTTTTGTTATTGGTCCTTGTTTGAATTGTCTAAGGTATTTTTTGTATACAAAAGTTTACATTTTTATGTATATTTTTCTCGTGTACAAACTATGTAATATGTGTACAAAACACTGTATGTAATATCTGTATATAGTGTGAGAAATCTGATCTTTTGTTTGTTTTTGGATGTATAAATAAAACTTGCTGTGAGGTATTTGCTGAAAAACAGGTTTTCTTGTGTGGTTCCTAATTAACCTGAAGTAAAATAAAGTGTGAGTGGTGAGTTATTTTTACATTACTTTGAAAAAATATGAATTATTATTCATTTATTTATTAATTCAAACTAGAATAGACCTATGCAACTTATAACCATAGTGGGTATGAGTAATTTTTCACACTAATCACAAACCCTACATTTTTTAAATGAAAATGCATCAATTAAAGCAGGGATTCCTTACCCCTAGTGGCCCGTGAGTGGTACATGAATATATTTTAATTTCTTAGGTAGTAAAATAAAATAGGGCTGGGATCTGTTTTGCTTTGTGATGGCCCAACAAGCTTTTATCAACTAAAAATGATGTTTTCCTTATGTTTGTCTTCACCAAAATGAGGCAGAGGAACAGACTGGTATCAGCTGTTTTTCTCTATCGCTCAGATGTTTTTATGAAAACAAAGTAAATCTAATTAAGTCAGTCCAATTTTTTTCTGTATTTTGTTCCCAATTCATCAAATTTAAATGTGACTATAAGGGAGTTAACTCAGAGGAGCTCCAGCTTTATAAATAAATGTTTATATTATTATTTTAATTTGTATTTATTTTGATTTCTTACCAACTTCCGGTCAACATATTTTGTTTAATTTTGGAATGGAAAGAATAAAATGCCTTAGAATCACCAAGACAATCATCAATACTTTTGACTGAGAGGGAAAGAAAAAATGCCCAAAGGGAAACACAACTAAAAAAAAAAAAAGGTGTGTAATTGAGCATGTCTAAATTATTTGACTGAACAAACTTTCCAAGATGCCGTACAGTGACATTTGTAGTGAATTTCTGCTGTATCAATGACTGAGGAGCCTTGGTGTTGTTTTTGGTCTCCATCCAAGAGGTCCTGGGTTCGAATCCCGGTTGGGTGGAGTTTTCACGTTCTCTGCTTCTATGGATTGTCACCAGGAACTCATCTAAACATTTTAAAAGTAGAAGTCTACAAATAATCATTTCACTTTCAATCCAAAAATAAATACGCAACACATTTGTCAGATGAAGTCGTAATTTGAGCTTTATTCAGAAGTACAAGAGGTTCTCATTGGCTTCTTGACATCTCTAATGCTTCCAAGATTCAATTTGATTGTTTAAAAAGATATCTCTCTCAGTGAGACCAGTGAAAACAGGTTTTAGATGCCAAATAATACATTTCATCTCTTCGCTGTAGTAATTTAGTATCAATTTAATTATTAATATTCATTTTTGAAAAACTACACATTTTCCAGATTTTATTCCAGTGGAAAAAAAAACTACCATCAACAAGACTTTTTTTGCGGGGTAATTATTAAAAAACAAAAGGCACTGAAGTCTTAATGAGGGAAAAAAAAGCTGCAGGCAAGCAAACAAAATGTAATTATTATTATTTTTTTTTTTTATCATTTAAGGGCTTTTCCAGAAATCCAACAGCGCCACCTTGAAAACTGCAAATGTGGAGACCGGACAACAAACTGCCAGAAAAATCACACAAAATGAAATGTTCGCTTTGAACGATTGTTTCCCAGTGTTAACACTTGAACACAAAACTAAAAGAACAAACAGATCAGCTGAAGATGAGCCTTTTTCTTTTTAAAAAAATGGATATTCATTGATACAAACGGGGAGAAAAATAAAAAAAGAAAACAAGATGTTTAATGGAAGAAAAGGAACATCGAGTACCAAAACTTAAATAAACCACAGAAAGTGCAACAAATAAAAACATGCAAAAGGTGCAAATGATGTTGCTGATTTCTTTTTTTTTTTTTCTTTTAACAGGGGCAGCTCATTATCATGGCACATTGAACAAATATCAAGAAAACCATGAAAAAAAAAAAAATCTTAATAGCAGCTTTTGATCCGGTAGCTAAATTCTAACAATCATTAGCTTTAGCAAAAAAAGCTGAATGTCACAATTATGGATTTTGAAATAAAACTGAAATGGACTTTGAAAAGCTCCGATCTGACAGTTAAAGGAACAGCTGTTCAGTTGAAATGCAGGAGCTTCAGGGAAAACCATCCCATTGGTAAACATATCCACAGATATGAGTAGAAGTTAACGGTAATCAAGGGAAATCATTTACTGAACACTGAGCCTCAAGGGAGGAATCCAGATAGAACAATCCAACCTTAAAGCAGCAAGAAGTGTTAAATTAAATATATTATCATTATACATCAAACATAACTATGGACTTTATTATACAACATTATGCATAATATATAGACATTAAAAGGAATTGTGTGATGTTGCAGCCAAGGAATACTGCTTAAATACTTTTGAAATGCTAAAGAAATGACTTTAAAATGTTTAAACCTAAGGATTTTAGAAAGTAAACCACTGCCTACACTGGATCACATGTAAATGTACCATAAGATTTAACAGAAGTGGCCTGAATCCTAGATCACGTTTAAGTCAGGGACCACCCTAAACTTAAATACCTCCAGTCAAAATAAACCTGTTTGTTAAAACTAAAAGACAATTTTAACTTTTTTTTGTACTGTTCCTTTAATTAATAGTCCTTTTTAAAGGACTGGCAGCAAATGTCCTGGAGCAAGTATCCTCCTACACCTGTTGGAAATAAAGCTTTATCCAAGTAAAGTACCAACTAATATATTCTTGATATATTTTTTGAGCAATAACAATTTTCAAACTACTGATGGAGTTTATTTAAATGTACCTGAATAACATTCTTTAGATATACAAAATATTTCATGAAAGTTGTAAAATTTCTTAAGCGGCAGGATTCATTGCTGCTTTTCTGTAGTTTGATCTGTTTTTTTTTTGTCTTTAACTGAAGTGTAAACACAGGAGATGGTTGTTATTTTCAGAATCCCATGTCTAATCCCAAACTTCATAAAACTGTTCCTTTAACTTCAGCTGTGCTCACATAGAAAGTATAGCGTAGCAACAGTGAACAAAATAAACTGAAAAGATTTGGACTGTTTAAAAAAAAAAAAAAAAAAACATGTTACGTGGAAAGAAATGGAAGCAATACTTTTGGTCTTTTATTATTTCTCGTCAAAAATCACTGCATATGAATTTTAATGCATAAAAAAAAAGAGAGAAAAACAGGAAATGTCAAAAGTAAATATCTCATCCGACCTTTTTAAAGCTGATAATAATGGTCATGTTCATTCAAACACTATAAGGCTGCTTCATCACCGTCTGGGGACTCATCTTCCCATCCTGTAACAGTATGCTATAACGCATACCACCCAAACCAGTCTGTAGGCTCTGAACTGTTAACACTATTATGCACAATCATTTTAAACAGTAGTAACAGTGCAGCTGGTCTCTGGTTTCCTAATATTTACATCTCACAGCAGTTTCATTTAATGCGGGAGCAACTACAAGTGTATCTCAGTTAATAAGGATATCATCGAAAAGTTGGTTTCTGTAATTAAATAGAGATCTCTGTTAATTTTGATGAATATAGCAAACAGCTAATGAAAACAGAACTTAGATTTAGTTTGAGAAATTTGTCCCTGACCCTCTTCCACACGGAGAATAAAAAACAAAAGGCCTCTGTGGAAGAATGCGTCTCTTAGAGGGCTTTAAACCAGGCACACTGATGGAAAGTTTAGTGGAAGGAAAAAGGTGTGCTGTTGGCAACTATGGCGAAGCCTTTTTTGGGGAGCCTTACAAAGAGTGTCTGACAGCTGAAGTTCTAAGAGCCGCCTCACACAGACGTATCAGCAATATGAGCTTTAACTGCCCCCTATAAGAGATGTCTGAAGTGTGCTGCTGGCTGATCTGATGAAAAATAGATCAGTTAGTTACTGACTGCACATACTTATTAATACCAGTTTGGTATGTCAGCCTTTTCTATCCTCTTTAAGCCATAATCTTTAAAATGAACAGAAATAAACGATTGAAATCCATCACTCTGTGTCTTGATAACCTGCAAATGACATTTGAGAATTGTTTGGACTTTTTAAAATATTCTGAAACTTTGAGATATCCCTATAGGAAAGCTTATATCAAATCCAAATGGAAATGCACAACCAGGCAAATACTGTGCTGCACGACCAACCCGAGTTCAAAGACTGTTCTCAATCCATAATACGGTGCATTCCTGCAAAAATAAAATACTGCAAGTGTCATGCTACTGCATTATGGCTACTTTGTTTATCGTAAAGGCATTTATACTCGAAGTGCAATTAAAGGTACCCAGAGCAAGTACCGTCGCAGCTCCTAGGAAGACTGAGAGTCTGCTGATTTAAGAACAAGATGATGGCACTGCCATTTGAATGGAATGAATGGACGAAACCTCAGTTTATCTGAGCAATCACACACAGCAAAAAGGGAGAGGGGTGAGGCAGAGGCCGACAGACCTGCTCGAACCCCACCCTCCTGGAATGAGGGGCTGGAAACAGCATCCAGTGTTTAAAGCGGGGAGGCTTCGGAAACCCAGCCGGCTTTTACATTCTACCACAATATTACAGCCACAGCAGCAGAGGGAGAAGGTGAAGAAAATCAACAGCAAAATGAGGGCATCAACTGGAGAGAATGAAAATAAAGATCAAACACTGAAGGATAGAAGACACACAGAAGCGAGGCAATCTTCACCCAACAGCCTATAATTTGCTTTAGGCCGTTATATGTCAAACGCCCTGCTATGCTTTCAACAATCTATAGAAATAAGCTTATTTACAAGTCTGTACAACCACCCGGTAAGACCTCCTTCCATCTCCCAGAAGACCAAATCTACTTAAAGCAGGATACCTGAGTTTTCAACAAAACGCCTTCACCCACTCGTTATCTCTCACAGCCACATGCACACAACCAACTGAGCGAGGGATTCTCTCCAAAAACAAAAGGGAGTGTAAACATTTTTAAAAGAAAAAGACAAAAAAGTCACACATTAAACCAAAAACTCAAGACTCCTTCTAGAAAGATCGTCAACTCCAGTCTAAAAATAAAACAGCTGAGAAAGGGGTGCAGAGAGGGGAGAACAGAGCACAGCTGGATAAGCAACCGCTGACTTAACCTCTGCTGCTCCTCTAGCAGATAAAACAGACCGGAAGGAGGCCGGGAGGGTTTTGCTTTAGGCAAATGAGGGATGTAGACCTTCCTGGGAGACTTCATCTCAGCTGAGGAGGTCAGACTGCTGCCGTCAGGGTGGAAGAGCAGAACAGAGCGTCACTGAGCGGTGGCCGCCTGCAGCACAGAAAACCTGGCAAACATCAGAGCAGAACGTTAACGCTCAAAAGAATTTCAGCGAAGAAGAGCAAAGACACAATGAAAGATGCTGTGACCTTCACAAGTAAACGATGAAGCACTAAATTTTTTTTCACTATTTTTAAGTGGAGGTTAAGAAATGATTACAATAAAAAAAATAAAAACTTAATGGTTTTAACATTTTGAAGCAAAGCTTTAACGGAGTTAACAAGAGGGAAACAACTGCCAAGTCAGCTATAATGGTTCACCGGTTTAAGATGGTGGAACAGGTATAAACCATGACCTGCGGGAACAAAATATTCTTTACTTGTGAACTCTTCTTTAAAAGCACCTAAGAAATGAGGATATGTGCCTATATGGACCAGATTTAAGGTTTTCCTGCATCTTTTGAAAAAGCCATAAAGTCAGACCTCTCTGGCGTTAACCTTTATGGTTTACTGGGAGCGCCCTCACTCCTCTAACTAGTTTAAAGGTGACCAACCCAACTGGCTGGAGGAAACAGAGTTTTTTTTTATTGTATAGCTAATGGTAAAAAACAGAACGGTAGGAAATAATCACCTAAAACAGCTTATTATAAGTTGTATATGTTTTATATTTATCAAACACATTTTAGAGTGTTATCACACCTGAGATGTTTGGTCTGTTTAAAACTATTGTTTTATACGTTTGTGTAAATGTGAACACAGCAATAGTACTAGGGTATTGACCAAAGAACCGCCTCATGTCTGCTTGGTTATAGTTATGGAAAGACCCCAAATGAACTCTAGAGCACTTTATTTATGGTATGAATGCAATAAATGGACAATGCAATAAAATCAAAACGACTTATTCCTACAAAGTTTCAGAGAGGTCACAAGAGATTTTAAAACAGGAAATCTGAAAAATCAGAAGCTTCAAACAGCTAGCTTACTTCCCACAGCTACAATTATCTAGTTATTTTCCATAAAAACCTATAGTGTCCTAGATCATGTCCTATACTAACAGCTTTTGGGACTTAGGGGACACAAGCAGAAATGTAGACTTAATGATTTACACATTTAGTAAATAAACTGACAATGTCTTTAAAAGCTCAAGAAAAACAAAAAGGTGCATGACTGATCAAACTAATCCACAAAATGCATTAAAAAAAAGATCTCCAGTATAATCCTTCTATTTCTCTCAATACTAACACCCATTAACAAGTGTTCCTGCTACAAAATAAAGCAAACTATGCAATGCCCTCAAGGAGGAGACTCCCAACATATCAAACAGATATATACCCTTTATGTCAATCTAAGATGGAATATAAAAGTAAAGAAAGATGCAGTTTTCAAACATTGTCCTGCTTAATTGAACTGATTTATAAACAAAATCCAAAACAAGGTCTAACTGACAAAACCTCAACCTCTACTGGTTTTAGATAAAAGTAGAAGAGGAAATTAACTTTTACTGTGGAGGCTACTGCAAAATGTTCTTTTAAAACATCTGAAGGTAAGGTGACTGCAGTAAACTGGTCGCACTTAATTGTGTTTCATCATAAAGGGGCTTCACTGTTATGCAGTATTGTTTGTGGGTCTATCACATAAAAACACAGTTTCAAAGTAGCAGCATCTGAAGAGGTTCAAGGTGCATCAACACTTTCACTTCTCTTACCTCTGAAGCCTCTGCAGTAGTTCAGCGACCAGAGAGTCGCAGATCCCCGGGTGGATGTTCTCAGCCAGGAAAATGGCTTTCCTCAGCTCCTCTGCAGCTTCTGGCTTTCCATTACTGGTCTCACCCTTTTCTCTCAACTACAAAAAAACATATGCAGAATTATTTGTGTGCGCGATTACATGCAGACAGACAGGATAGACTCAGAGTCACAGCTTTTCCATTAAACACCCGCAGAAAATTTCAATCCAGAAAAGGGAAAACGAAGTGAAGATTGCATGGGTTCTAAATGGTACAGATCACTATTTCAATTAGACGTAATTTAGTGTATAATACCTCCGAGAACAATGGAGAGAATATCGATGTTAAGCTTTGTGATGAGAGGCTTTCTGAAGGCTGCTCCACCTGGAAGAGAAGTATTTTCAATCAACATTAATGAAGGAGATAATGATTGTAGGGATTTAAATAGGACTGTGCTTTGGTGTGTTATGCTCTGACCCTCAGCTCTACAGGCTCAACCAACTGAACAGGCTCAGCTGGCGGCTCTTCAAATATAACGGGCTCCTTGATGGTGCCAAAGATCCACTCCTCGTTAGCTTTAGGTTTGCTACCCTCCTCCAGCTCCCTGTGGAGAAATGGGATTCAGAAACAGTGTATTTAGTCTAACTCTTCTCCAGCTCTGCACCACGAAGAACACAGAACTTACTCATCCGAATCGTCGGAGCTTGAATCATCCCGCGACTGCTCCGATTTCCACCTCTTGTATCTGTCGATCAGCTCGGTCAGGTAGGTGGTCTTTTTGGCGTGCCGCGCTATAAATTTGTGCTTTAGCAACTCTTTGGCAGTTGGCCTCTGTGAAACAAACACCGTCAGAGCAGAATTTTGAAACGATTGTTTTTTTATTTTATTCATCACAGCGATATGAAAAAAAAAAAGGTTTAAACTTACAAAGCTAGGCTCCTTATTTAAACAGGCTTCCACAAACTCTTTCAGAGGTTTACTGTAGTTTCCTTCCAGTGTCGGCGGGTTGTTCTTTGGGATGAGAAATAAGACTTTCATGGGATGAAGCTCAGAGTGGGGCGGCTCTCCTTTAGCCAGTTCAATAGCTGTTATTCCTAATGACCAGATATCTGCCTGTAAAAACAAGAAAAATGGAATTATTTCATTAAAATCTCACCTGAGCTACAAGCGACCAGTTAAAACACAACAAAGTGACTCTAAATATGGAACACTGAGTTGAGTATTTGAAGTAGTTCTGCAAAAAACAAGGACAGCGACCTAGCAGCTGTGTTTTAGAGTCGCACTGACTCATGCTGTGGTTGTTCCAAAAATATACACTGGGGCTTCTCTAGTCTAGAAAACACGTCTGTAATGGGGCTTTAGTGTTCATCACCAAAAGAGGCACACTGAGGTCAGAGGAAATAAAAACAAATTCACAACATTTCCATTTAATTTAAGGCTATAAATACAAGAGTATAACAAGACACAGCTTGAAAATAATCCTGGTGAATTAAGATTCTGATCCAGTTAATTTAGGCGGGTTATCTGTGATTTCAAAAGGCCCAAAATATCTTGATTCTCACCAACATCTACTGACCTAATCTTCTTAGTTTGTTAGTTTTGCTAGAAGAGCTAACCATAGAAACTTTACTTCCATCTGATTCACTGGTAGAGAGCCAAATAAAAAAAAACAATATCAGTCTGTCAACTTAGAAATGTTCGCTTTTGGCAGCATTGTTTATAATCAGGTATTAAGAAAAAAAAAAAAGTATCGTTTAAGAACAAATCCAAACTCTTCTTTTGATTTTCTCATGATTTAATTGATGTGATTAACATGTGCTTCTCCTATCTGGAAAAGGATTAAGCAACACGCTGCTTTATCTAGGCCTTTTACACTTTGTTTCCGCATCTTTTATAACGCTGATGTAGCTGTAACCCCAGCTGCGGTTCACCTCCAGTATGTGACTGTAATAACGTTGACTGACCTTTGAGTCGTAGGCAGATTGCTTTATGACTTCGGGTGCCATCCAGAAAGGCGTTCCGACGAAAGTGTTCCTCTTTATTTGTGTGTCGGTCAACTGCCCCGCCACGCCGAAGTCGGCCAGCTTTACTTCGCCTTGCTCCGACAGCAACACGTTGGCAGCTAAAAATAGCAGTTCAATAAACGCTGCATAAATAACTCCAATAAACCCGTAGAGGATTAAAAAGGAAAAAGCGAGATCTCGTACATTTTAGCTGCATTTTTGAAAACTTCAGATTCATTTGCTGGTGAAGATTCTCAGTCATCCAGCTTATAGTAGGTCCAAAAAAAGTAAAAAACAACAATCCACTGGAATTGTTTCCAAGTTTTTAAGACGTTTCGCTTCCCATTCAGGAATTCTGACATTTTAAATTGAAAAACTTTCCTGGATAGGAAGCAAAACATCTTCAAAACCAAGCCCAGTGTATAGGGTTTTTTTTTTTTAAACTTTTTTGGAATTCAGATACATTAAATTCTCAAAAGAAATATTACACCTAAAACACCAATAAAAGCCAAAGTTGATTACACCCTTTGACAATAAAAATTACACATATACAATTATTACTGATAAACCCTGATGCCGTGGCATTCGAAAACTTACACAGAAGCAATAAAAAAGGATCAAAGAGAGCAGTTCTTACCAGATGACATTGATTACTGTTCCAACAAAGGCTGAAGTACTGCTATTTATCAGATTTACCTTTGATATCTCTGTGGATTTTCTTTTCAGAGTGCAGATACTCCAGCCCTCTGAGAATTTCCCTCAGGATTGTGGCTATCTGTGTTTCATCCAAGGCACCTGGTTCCAACTGGGACAGAGATATAAGTATGTGACTCCATGCCGCTTGAGTAAATGTATGTTTTCTTATAAATTGGTAACCAACTTCAGACTAGTTTCTTACCAAATCCAGAGCAGATCCTCCTCCCAAATATTCCATAATAATCCATAATTTTGTACCCTGAGGAATGGATCAGGAACAATTAAAGAAAACATGGAAATACAACCACTAGAAGTAAAACTCTGAATGTTTACCATTCTATGATTAAACTTAACACGTTAAAGATTGAAGGATGATGGCTAATGTTTGCAGCTTTCTTTTACATTGTTAGACGTTCAGGTCTGACAAACAATAATCCCAGAAGAACTTCCTTCAAAACTGTTTTCATGAGACAAACCCTTCAAAAGATTTTGGACTTCCTTAAACATTTTCCCATGTTGACAGATTACAGCCAAACATAAAAAAAAAATAAAAAATAAAAAAAATACAGAGATCAGATCAGAGATTTTAAAGTAATTCTTGAAAATCTGCTTTATGTAGTAGCTTAACTTTTTTTGCAAATCTTCTCTGTGTAAAGTAAGCTTGTATGAGTGGTGCAAACAGCAACTTTTAAACAGAGTGCACAAGGAGAAATGGCCTTGTGCACTCATTTAATAGGCGTTCCCGCTCGGGAGCGGGTACATGGTTGTGTGTGTGTATTTTTATTTTCATTTTTTAATGGAGAGGGCAGGTCTTTTTCAAAAACTCGCCAAAATCCTCCACTACACCTTGAAGGTAAATAAAATGTAATTCTCTATTTCTTTATTGGGCTCAAATGTCTTAAACAAGAATCGCCTCAGGAAATGCTCAAGTATACTCATGGGTCTTAAAACATTTATCTTTTCAGAGTTTGTTAGTTTTGCTAGTAGAGCTAACCATAGAAGCTTTACTTCCATCTGACTTACTGTTACGAATTAAAGACACCATTCAGGAAAATATTTGGCATTCTGAGAACCAAATAAAACAATATCAGTCTGTTAATCCAAACATAAAGGGTCACTTTCAGCCACATTGTTTAGAATCAGGTATTAAGAAAAAGTATGGTTAAGAACAAACCCAAACTCTCTAATATCTTTGATATCTTTTTACATTCTCATTATTTAATGTGCTTAAAAAAAAAAAGAGTCAAGTAAATGTGTGAAAATTGTGCTGTCATCTGTCACATTCCTGTGCTTCTCCTATCAGAAGTTTACCGCCCAGCAGAAAGAAAACCTCAAGCATTCGACCAGAGCCATGATGGAAAAGCATAGCCTCAGGTGTATTCATGTGTTATAATAACTTAATAACAATGTGTGATATGACTTTAAAACTGTCGAGAGCCTGAAATATTTCATGGGAATGAATATAGACACATTTAGTACTGCAGCTGTAATTAAGGTAAAAGGTGATTCCAAACGTATCATAGTTTCCAGATTTTTTCCTTACTTCTCAATTATGTACTTCTTTGTTTCGTTTTCATCACATAAAATCCCAAAGAAGTTAATTTATGTCTAGGAAAAAATGTGGTAAAGTTCAACAGTTATGAGAGCTTTTGCAAAGCACAAGAACATTTCCTCATAGCTGTGTGGTTAATCAAGTACAATCACTGGGGAATGGGGTCTCTGCACAATATACAATAACACAAACATATGCATGGCAAATAAATCATTTTTTGTAGATAGAATATAAAAGCTTGTATAAAGAATACAAAACTTGTCATTTATAAAGTTTTGAACAGCATTCACAAAAACCCCAGTAAACAAAAGCCTCAGTCCGTCTTTATTTATGTATTATTAGCGGCTAGCTAGCTCTAGTGGTAAGTCACCCGTCCTGCAAACAGGAGGGTGGGACACTTTACGCTAATGCCTGCTTTGGGGAGTGCCGTCATTGGGCATTGCGCTAGGTTCTGAGTTTGAGCCCCACTCCCACAAACTGCCACCCTGGGTCCCTGAGGAAAAGACCCTTTATGCAGTATACTAGAAGCTTTGAAAGGCTCTCTAAGCACCATTAAGTGAAGCATAAAGCTGCATTATACCTAGAAAATAATCTGTAACTTGCCAAAAAAATTATGGTCAATAAAGCAATTTGATTTACAGGTTTACCTTTTTCTTGGCTTGCTTGGATTCTATCTAAATCTAATAGATCAAAACACATCAGCGACAAGAGCATTAAAACTCTTATTTTAGGGAAGCTTAAATACGACTAGGTTTCTGCCTCTATAACCTAAGTGATGGGCATTTTAGAGGGTCTGAATGCAGTAGTCTAAACCAGCTTTGAAATGTCTATGCACTTATTAAATGTAGTGCTAACCATCCAAAAAGCCTACACTATGACCCATTTTCTTAAAATATCTGTACTCTATTTCAAAGGTAGCTGCTCCATCATCCATTTCAATTATTTATTGACCTACCTTGCCTTTTCTAGCATGCAGGGATTGCCCTTTACTGTAATAATCTTGCTGAACCTAAACTATTGCAAGTTTACCAAATATGCTTCTTTAAACTAAAAAGGTCACCTTGAGATAAGATCCGTGGTATTTGGTGATAAAGGGACTGTCACACTGGCTCAACACTGTGATTTCTTGTTGGATATCCTCTATTTCATCTTCAGCCTCCTCCAGATCGATAATTTTAATGGCCACAACTTTCTGAGTCCTTTTGTCAATGCCTTTAAAGACTTCTCCAAAAGAGCCTTTTCCTATCCGCTCCTGCTTGGTGAAAAGTTCCTCTGGATCAGCGTTGAAGTTCTTGAAAAGAGAAAAAGACACACAAGGGAGAAAACAAAACATTGTAATTTCAGTCGTATCAAACCACAGGACACAGAAAAGCTTAAGACTGGTACACATTTCTATAGGTGTGGATCTAAGGCCTCTTTTCCACTGAAAATAAAAAAAGCCGGTTCTAACCTCCCGCGGCTGTGTGACATAAATCAGGAAAGTAAACAATGGAGAGCAACATGTAAAGAAGCCTGGACGTAGTGAGTGTGCTTTACTGTTTCGCTCCATTATCTTTACGAATCTCTCTTACCAGCACTGCGCCATGTTTGACGGATGTAAAAAGTTGGTTTGGCTTTTTAAATCAGACACAGCTGGTACAGTGTGCTGATGTCTATACGTTAATACGTTCAATGGTATCACATAATCTAGTGAGTCAACCTGGCTCTTGTATTCCTACAGCATGCTGATCAGAGCCAAGATTTTTAACCAGGTAGACACATGTCAGTGAACTGTTCGCACTGCCACTAAAAGCCAATTGTTCCCTGGTATAAACAGGTTTTTTGGCCAGTGGGAAAGGTGTATAAATGTGTACATTCTCCTAGTTCAGTCGCTCTTCTTTTTCCTCACTTAAATGGCGAAACATAAGTTTTTACTTAATTGTATGAAAAAATCTGCTACCGCATAAATGTAAACAAAATGAATTGCATAAAACAAAAGCTAGCGTATGATCATAAACAATCATTGCTACAAACTGGCAATGCTGGTAACTTAACTTATGAGTGGTCTTTTCTTTTCTGTAGTTCAGTCAGAGATGCACTTTTTGTGGATTTCCAGTCAGCCGACTGTGATGCTTATTTAATGTGATTAAACTGCGTATGTCAATTAGGTCGTCACACATGATTTCATTTTTGTTATTTAGGTATTTCCTTTATTATATAGTCCAATGTTTTCAATCCTATTTTTAAGTCTATAAACATCACATAACTGATGTGTGAACCAGTTTGCGTCAATGTGTCTCTTTACCTCTGCAAAGCAAATTATGTCTTCATATGCATTGGTTTGTTTTTGGAAGAACTAAAAAAAGTTATGCTCAGATTTAGCTGAAATTTAAGAGAAGGTGCGTATTGTGATTGGCAACAAATTGCAACCAGGATTTTTTATTTTTTTTTTAAAGACTTTGTGAATACTGGTATTAACCTAAGGTGGAAGTCACATTATGTTGGGGGGAAATTAGCTACTTGGCAGAGGTCTGCGCTCCCAGAGTGTTTTCCTAGATTCACTTTGTGACTAAAATGCCTGAAAATCCCTGCTGTGGGGCAATTAAGGATATTTCTATTCTAAATGCCAGAATTAAGCCAACAGACAAAGTTTTAAATGTAAACTTAGAGTTTACTTCAACCTAGTTCCATTTTTGTCTGACTTCTACACCAAGTGTGGACAAGTAAGCAAGTCCCAATGACTCCAAACTGATATAATCTGATCAATATTGAAAAGCCAATATCTTTTTGTTCTCAGATTTGCATGGACATTAGTATGCAGAGCTATTTTCAAAAGTGCTACAATTAGTAAATCGTCTGCCATAAAGCCACATAATGCATATACATCACTGTGGTTTAATGGCCTCCAAAGCAAAGCCTAAACAAAAACATAGGGACTGCATCCTAAATTATTGACTGAGCTAAATGGCTCATTTCCCTATGGGACCCCTGGGAGGGAATAATGGCCTTCAAAAAAGCCCAGATGAAAGCTAAAAATTGTTTAGAATACATAATGACATTATTCTGTATAGTACTAGAGAGCAACATTTGAATTCAAAGTAAAGAGTACAAACTAAAACTAAGTGTAACCTAGCTCTAAAGCGATGATCTACAGGCTCTCAAGAGTAAATTGCTTTACAGCCCCCGCCTCGTGAGAATAGTTTCCTGTAAAAACTGCTAATGCATGATGGTCAAACCAACAAGGCAGGTGGGATGAGTAGTAGCCCTTTGAACAGCTGGCAGAGGGAAACGCTGAACTGAATAGCAGAGACTTTAAAACAAGGGAAGGAAAAGCAAAGCACTGCAGAACAAAGCAATGCAAAAGCAACAAACCCTAAATGCTCTCATAACACTGGTGTGATCAGTCATCCAGTGGAAATTTATAATGTTAAGGATGACCTCTGGAAAAGCAATGCTATGACCGAAGCTTATGCATAATAGGGAATGTAGTTTTTTATATCCTTAGTCAGCAGGTTTACTGGAACAACTATTTCTGCTTAAACCTCGCTCCAAAACCATGTGGTTCATTCTCTACCAGCAGCACCGTGCAGCTTTGTGGTCTGCTATCATAGACCAAAATGAAAGACCCTGCAACCAAGCAACACTTTATTGGCAAATACAGAAACCCCTCTACATCACACAAATACACACGTGAAGACAAATAATTAAATGAAAAGACTTTGGTAGCAATTCCCTTATGATTATATACCGTATATTAAGTTTGGTTATAATGAAATCATGATTTCACACATTTTGCATTTAAAAAGCAGAAAATGGCATACCAGTCATACCAGCTGCACAATATATTGAATTCCACTTGATATCACAATGTCATCATGTAAAAAATGCAAATAACTGATTAAATACTTTTTTTTTGTTATAGTCATGGACTTAAAGTGCTTTCAATTCCCATACTGGATTTATACTTTTAGTCTTTTTCTCATAAGTTTCAGAACTGGCCTAACAAATACTGCATATAATTAGATTTCTTCCTCTTTTCAAAAAATGTCAACATTAACTTAAGTCCACATTACACATAGCATGTTATTTTCCCTTATTTGAGCCCTATTAATGTTGGTTTTAGCAATAAAATATTCCTATAAAAAAGGAAACAAGATCAACTTTTATCAATCCCATATTTACAAAATTAGATTTTTAATTTAGGGAGAGTATAAAATTGACAATCATTTTTCAGGCAAAATGTTTAAAAAGATCCTCCCCCACCCCACATAAGCAAAGGCATTAATTCATCATACAGGAAATTACATTACATACAGGACTACTAATCTCAACAAAACATAAAGAAAAGTGAATGTTTTCAACACTACTGAGTAAATATCAACAAAAATTAAAACTTACAATGCTAAATATTTATTAAATGCATTTATTTTAAATGAAAGGAGACGGCAAATAACATGCAAAATGCCTCCAGATTGCTCCAAATAGCTAGGATTGTTTTAGCAACCAACCAAGACCCAGCCAAAGTCCAACAAACTACATAACTTGTAAACTTTGGCAAAGAACACAACATAAAACTAAAGATGGAGAGAGTTCAATCTTTAGACAATTATAAGGGTTATCTGCGTTCAGCAGGGTAATAAACCAGCCAGCCTTTTCCCCCAGGAACCTAAATGGACTTTGATAAGTTGTTTTTCTTTATCAGTGAAATCCAAATGTAACAGAGAAATAAACGGTTACACTTCCTTTATGTCTCACTGAATTTTTTTTAAGGTGCAGGTAGTCTAATAGTAGTTTAATTTAACTTCCACATTGACAGCATGAGGTTATATATTTACCTGAACCCCCGGTAGTGCGCTCTGAAGAGGGGAGTGAGCCATGGCGTCAAAGGAGCAAAGATGACGCCTCTCCTTGTCTCCTGAGCTCACCTTTTCACATCAACGCCGTAACTTCCCAAACAATTGCTTTGAGTCCAACCGAATCCTTAAAATCGTTTGCTGTATGATATAGAGACGTCACTTTTTAAAACAATCGCACCTCAACTTGGGGCTATTGCCTTCCCCCGAGTCGCCTTCCGCAGTTAGAAAGCTAAACGTTAGCCACTTTTAGTCGCTTGTTAAAGTAAACAGTTAACGGAGAACATGTATCTTTATCAGGTGCTCGTAGATGTCCAACGCGTCCGCTTGTAATCAGCTGCAAAGACAGAATATATGCACACTTTTGTGCCAGCTGTGACGCTTGTTGTTCCTCTCTGGCATCACTTTCCTCTGTCTCCCGGCGCCATCTTGGTTAATGTCATTTCCATTTTCCTTTGGACCAATCAGAGAAACGAAGAGCAGACTGAGAACACGTCGTCATTCATTAAGTGAAACGTCACTATAGGGATGGAGCTAGAGTTAAGCTATGGTAAGTGCATTTATCATGTAATAGTTGAATAAAAACCGGTGATAGGCAAATTTGACATTTATTAGAAGCGCTGTCCTCTATTGTTTCATTAGTTGGTCTTTAAAATAAGATTCTTCTTGGTCAAAACTACATTGCTACTAGTCAGAACTGCACACATAGATATCCTAAATTACATTTTTGCCGGCAAAAATTTAATTTCAGGATGCAAAAAAATATTATTGTACAGTAAGAAACCAGAAATCTTTAAAAATGTTAAGAGGCCATTTGGACATTTATTAGCTTGACTGAATATATATTTCAGATGTCTCAAATGCATTACATTCTAACCAAAATTTAAATTTCAGATATCTTAAATAACATTCTTCCTATCTAAAATGAAAATTTTAGATATCTTAAATGTAATTCTTACTACTACAAACGACGTCACATTTCCCATTGGTGTGTATTGGGCTTTTACTTTCAGGTGTCTGAAATAACATTCTTCCTATCTTAAACTTAATTCTGACGAGGATGAATTCCTCCGGTGACACCGGTAAGTCTATATAGTCACGTGACAATGACAGCTCAGTCCCTTTTCATCTTCTCGCATGCAGGTTGAACAGGAGGTAGGTCACTGATTGAGACTACGGTCGGAGCTGCAAGGATCATCTCGCCCTCCAGAGACACAACTTAGTTTCTTTGATTGGTAGGTTGTTCTTCCTTTGTTCGACGGAATCAAACAAAGGAAGAACAGGAATCGAAAGGGAATCGATGCGGGGATGCGTTCGCTTTCCGCATCAATTCCCTATAACTGGTGCTAAGGCATTAGCTGATTCTGATTGGCTTGTTTGCCTTTCTTTCATTCAGTCGTGCAGCCGTGTTCGGTTTGCCCTTTATTGTTAATTGCAGCCGTTTTCGGGCTTGCATTTTTGTTTACTGTGGAGTTGTTTTTGGGCTTGCATTTTTGTTCACTGTGCAGCCGTTTTCGGGCTTGTTTACTGTGCAGTCGTATTCAGCCTTGCATTTTTGTTTAGAATGCAGCCGTTTTAAGGCCTGCATTTTTTCATATACTGTGCAGCCGTGTCCGGCTTGCCTGTATTTTTTAATCACTGCAGTTTTTGGGCTTTCCTTTTGTTTATTTGTTTAATTTTGCAGCCATCTTCGGCTGTCCATATTTCATTATGTAGCAGCCGTATTCAGGCGTGAATTTCTTAAATTCACTGCCATACTCTGCTTGCCTCATTGTTGCAATCTTGCTGGTTTGTACTTCTCAATGGCTACGGTGATCGTAGTGCTCCTTGCAGCTTCTCACTGCTGGGGAACCCCTGGTGGCGTTTTCTGCTCGACCGGGTATCCTGGCCTGTTCGCTCGTCAGCTTTAGTGTCAAGACTGGCGATTTCAGCTTTACCTGACCTAGTTCTGTGAGTGTGGGATGTTGGACGTGTCATGTTGCAGAGCTTGTTGTTTGGCGCCATCTCCAGTTGGAGGATGGGCATGCTCTGTGTCCCTCTTTTTTGGGACCAGATCACCTAAAAGAGGCCTTGACTGATGCGGCCTACCCTAATTATACTGTCCTGCCCTTGTCCCTGCGTAATGCACGTTTGGCTGGCCTTCAAGGCGCCAGCCAGCCATGAAGCGTATGGCTCCTGAGGCTATAGGGCCTCTGCGGAATAGGACCAAGAGGAGCTCCAGGTGATCAGAAGGCATATCTGGGCAGATGGCCCATCTCACTTCTGAGGTGGAGGAGATGAAACTGCTGCTCTAGTCCCCTAGGGGCGAGCATGGCACTAGCCTGACTGGAGATCCTGCGTGTTTTCATGGTGGCACAGAAAAGCATCAAATAAAAAATATATTAAGAGAGCCGCATGATGTGAAATGTCTATTCAATTTGGTTTAATAAAAATATCTATGTCTAAATAGGTAAATATACATTCATAATTTAGGAATTTTACATATTGATCTAGAGGGGCACTCATTGGCCCCTGTCTAGAACTGCCAGTGACCCTGACCCAGGGCAGAGCAGCGGTTCAGGGCTCTCTGCTTTGGAAGACGATGCTATATCCCTAGCAGAATGTGGCACTGATTTTCAGGATCCTTTTGACTCTTGCTTGCATCTGTCAGTTCACAAATCTCTTCTGGCTCTTACTCGGAAGAGGATGGTTCATTAGTGGGTGCTTTGAGAACTGCTCTTGCCAGGTTGCAGCTGGATGCTACACAGGACCAACGTGCGGCTTCCAGTGCCTTCTTTCGACATCCTACTGCTAGGTTGACCTTTATGGCTCTCCCTTCTGCTGAATATGTGAAAGAGGTTCATTCCTATTGAGCAGACACTAAGGCCTTTTCAGGGCCAACCTCCGATGGCAAGGCCCTGGCAGCCATGCAAGATGCGCCCAAGTTTGGCTTGGGCCATATGCCTTCGGTTGTACCTGCCATAGCTTCCCTCAATGTGGCGCCAGATGAAGCTTTGAGAGCTAATGCCACGTGCCCTCGTTCTCAGTTTCATGTGACTGATGATCTGCTGCATAGAGCCTATGATTCGGGGTCTTGTTTGGGGCGACTTGGTAACTCTCTGTCGCATTTATTACTGGGTCTCTCAGCCTCTTTGGATGGACAAATCTCTTCATGCATTTGCTCTTCTGTCAAGGGGAATTGGACGTGTGTGGTCTACCCTTGTTCAGGCACACCGCAAAATTTGGCTAGCTCAGTCTCCTCTAACAGAAGCTTTTAGAAGGACCCTTATGGGCCTTCAAGTGGTCTGTGGGGAGTTGTTTGGCTCCACTGTGCTTGCAGCCTTGGAGCAGTCAGCCTAGGATTCTAGTAGCAGGCAGCAGTTGGCCGGCCTCCAGCATCCTGCTGGGAGTGCCTCTGCATCTCTTTCGCGCACTTATCCTGCCCAGACTACACCCTGCTTGATGCAGCCACAGCCTGCTGCAGGGCCTGCTGCAAGACCTGCTCATGGCCAGTAGGATCTACCCAGGGGTCAGGCTCATGTCACTTCTCAATCCAGGCAGTTCACTTGGCAACCCTTCTGCACCCTTAAAGGCTGGGGGGCTTGGAGATGATATCACTGAGTGGAGGTGGGACACTTTATCCTGGACCAGCTCAGTTGCTCGGCCGCTCTTGTTCCTGATCCATGGGTGGTGTCTACACTCACCCAGGGTTACACGTTACAGTTCCGCCACCGCCCTCCTGTTCCTGGTCGAGGTGATTCGCAACCAGGTAAAGGCTCAAGCTCTGAACCAAGAGATAGATGCCTTGCTGGCAAAAGGTGCTATATTGCCTGTATATCATCTCCTCAGTGTGTCAAGGGCATTCTGCAAATGCTGCCCGCCTTTCTGCATGGTCATGCACCCCCCTTTATTCTCTATCTTCGTCTGTTGGGCAAGCTGACTGCTGCCACTACAGTAGTACCCCTGTGACTGTTGTCTCTGCGACCACTACAGATGTGGCTTAACAGCCTAAGGCTGGACCCTGCTCGTTTGCTGCATCGTCACAGGAAACAGCGGGTGTCCTCTCATTGACTCGCATCACTGGCTCAGTGGCAAGATGAAGTGTTTATGACGAAGGAGGTTCCAAACAGCTAATAAGGCATGGAGTGCCTTGGAGTTGGAGGCTGTGCATCGGGCGTTGCAGCACTTCCTCCCAAACCTGCGTGGAAGCCATGTCCTAGTGCAGTCGGACAACAATTAAGTGGTTTTTCAAATTACCCATCAAGGGTGGACATGGTCAATAATATTATGGAGGCTGATCCAGAGGCTCTTGACCTGGGCAGCCCCTCTCTTTGCCAACTTGAGAGCAGCCAACATTCCAGGGGGGCAGCCGATATTCGGTCTTGGGGACGCCCACCACCGGGGGTGTGGAGGCTCCACCCAGAGGTAGTGGGGGTCATTTGGGAGAAGCATGGAAAAGCAGCCGTAGACCTATTTGCGTCCGAAGAGATGACACATTGCCCCTTTAGTTCTCCCTGGCAGACAATGCCAGTGCCCTAGGTCTGGACGCACTAGCGCACGAGTGGCCGAGAGTGCTGCTCTATGCATTCACGCTGTTCACAAGTACTAGAACCCAGTTTGTTCTGGCGTTACTTTCTGACCTGATGTTGTGTTTCTTCCTAAAGTGGCCTCATCTGCGAGCCACACTGTGCCCCTCCAGCTTGTTCACCTTGATGCGGATGGGCCTGATGAGCCTCTTTGTCCTGTTCAGGGCAAAATGAAGAAAAAGTCATATAGAGCCTAATTGGCTTGTGGGATTCCTGAAGCAGTAGAAGGTATAGTAAGGAGAAAACTCAGGCCTGGGATGAGTTTTTGGCTGGCCTCAAAGCGATTCTGGCAAGTGGTCTGGCACCTCTGAAAGGGGGAAGCAGTGCTTTGTTAATACTGTTGTCAGTGGGAGTAGGGAGCTGCTGACCTTGAAAAGGACATAGTTAGATGTGCTGATTTTGTTCATCATCCCGGCTAAACTCAATAAGATTGTCAAAAGATTCCTTGGTGGCGAGGCTTCAGGGGTGGATGAGGTTGCCCTGATTACCTTAGAGCTCTGGATGTTGTTGGGCGGTCATGGCGAACATGCCTCTTCAACATCACATGGAGGTCTGAGACAGTCCTCATGGATTGGCAGACTGAGTCTGATGAAGAGAGTGCTCACTGCTGTCTATAACAGTATTCACCTTATGAAGACTTCTTTTTTGTTAAATAATCTCCAGAGGTTCTAGATGACTTCCTTGAACAAATGTGACATTCTTTATCAGCTTGTTGGGCTTTCAGGACTCTGGAGCTAACACCATTAGGACCTGGTGACTAAGTATGGTTTACTATCTCCAATTGCCCCTTCACTTGACTTCTAGAGAGAGACCAATGAAATGCAGAGGGCGCAGCACCATCTTGTGATTTGGCTTAGAAAAACCTAATAAAAGCTATAGAGTCAGTTGCAGGGGGGGAAGATGAAACATTTGAGGTGTAACAGGGAAGCTTTGGGTCAAAGAAGGGCATGATCTCCATTTAACTGTGGGAAGGAGAGAAGCATGCTGAGCTTGTTCCTGAACTGAACCTTTTGAAGAAATGATTCAGTTCATTGGCTCTGTCCAGACTTTGATCTGTCTGATCATCCTTCTGCTTGAAGGCTCTGATCTTCTTCATCACTGACCACAAATCTTTGATATTGTTCCGCTGGAACTTGTTTTCCATCTTCTTCCTGTATGCCCCCTTGCTTTCTCTTATCTTGACCTTAGATTACATCTGTATACTCCTCAGCAATTTTCTGTCTCTCCTCCTAAAGGCTTTTTTTCATTGCTAAGCAGTTTCTAAAGACAGCTTTTGATCTATAGTTTATTTGGGAAGCATTTCATTATTCTGGTATGTGTGTTGTCATGTATACTTTAGTTTACATAGTTAGTCACACACTCTGTAATGACATTAATGTCCTCTCCACCTGGGGGAGCAACAGCCGGCTGGGCAGGGGAAAACAAAGGATCACGAGTTGGATAACTAGCAGGCACAGAGAGGGCATCATTGTTTAGGTGGCTGAACCAGGCCTACCAGTGAGTCCAAATTGGCTTGCTGGCTTGAGGCTATCCATCAATAAGATCTCTGCCCCACCATGTGTCGACCTTGAATGCTTGGGGCCAGGCTCCAGACAACCCATCAGAACAAGCTTGCGAGTCCTCCTTAGGGGCTTTCCGGAGCTGAGCTCAGATATTCTGCTGGAGGTAAGACCCTGTATGTAGAGGTTCAAGTTCAAATTCCAGCAAAGACTGTTTGCTGCACAATCACAGGTGTAAATTTTGCATTGAAATTATATACTTGCATCTTGATAAACTTTCTTGACCACAAAGGAATGAACTACATCAGATGGATTTTACGATATTGCATGTAACATGAATTAGGTTACACACCACAAAAGAAACTTTGGAGCAGTTGGAAATTACACACACATTAAGATATAACACTCCACTGTAGCATATGAATGGGATTTGCTTACAGAAAATCCCAACATTCAGATAAGAGCGAGGTACAATACATACATTTATTATGTGAATTATGTTATGTGAACATATCTTGTCACTTCCAAATCTTTTCCTTCTTGGACCTTTTCTACAATGGCCCTCCTTTTGTTTAAATTAAAGGCCAGATTTTCTACTTTGTTGGTTAATAGTCATTATTTTAAGAAAAAACATCAGGTAGCTCCCTAAATTATGACATTTTTCAGTTAAGAGAAGTGGTCAGGAAATGTATATTTTAGGATGTGTAGTGTAGTGATCAGTAAAAAAGGACTATTATAAACTAATAGAAATTTGAACATAAGGTAAAATCAACATGCTGCACCAATCCACTGCTATCTCGTGTCTTTCCCTATCCTCCTTCTGCACCTCTTTCTCACCTTTCCTCATCTCAGCAGCTTTGCATTGCAGCGTGACAAAGTATGACAGTGTATAACAGAACATCTCCCACATTAAGGATCTAACTTCCTCTTAAGGATACTGGAATTCAGTTTGCAAGAGTACACACCTAACCATAACTAAATGTATAGGGACACTAGCAGCAAATTTGTAGCATCAGCGTTGAAATCAAACATCAGCAAAACTGTTGCTACAACCTCTTATCCTTTCAACCTTATCCTTATATCAAACACATTCATTTCCATTTGCACTTAGAGCAGATTTGTTAGGATATAATAACAACTGTAATAAAAGTGAATTTATTAATATAGGTTAATCTATTTAGTGATATTAATTGGAGAAGGGCTTATTATCTAGAATATTTAATAACAAATGGAATTTGAAAAGTTGGGTTAAAGATTCTACATTGACAGCCAATAGAGATTTTTTTATTATTCAAAAATGCACCAGTAGAAAGTAGTTAATATTCAAATAAGAGTAGTTTAGTGACTGAATTGAAAGGATGGTATGTATTGATCTGACTGGAGTTCAACACTAAAACAAACACATTATAGATAAATGAAACCATTTAGAAACTCTCACACACTTCCTAAGATATCAGACAGAAAACAAATGTGTAATTTTCAGTGACATCTAATGGTCAGACTACAGACTGCAGCGACTCTGTCCTCTCTCTAAAGAAAGTCAGAAACACCTCTGACCAGGTTTAAATTAGCTCTGATGTATTTTATGCTATCAAAGAAGACAAGGTAGGGATATTTCTCCAAAATGTCTTTTTGGATAAAAACAGAGAAAACCGACAGTGACAAATTGTGCAATATGGTCTCAGAGAGAAGTGAAATGGTTGGACAAATATGTGATACATCAGACCAAATCCAAAGCCCCAAAAAACAGTTGTCTTAATATCAGCAAGCCAGAAAACAAGGACTTCCCCCCCAAAGAGCATGATTTTTGATATTTTAAACTATTTTTTCAACAAATCAAAACCTAAAGTGTGGGGTGTGCAAAATTAATCGGCCCCTTTACTTTCATTGGAGCAAACAAGATTTACCTTTCAAGAAAACAATGATCTAAAACATAAAGAAAAATCTACAGTGGAATGGTTCACAAATAAACGTATCCAGGTCCAGACATAAATCCAATTGAAAATCTGTGGAAATAAATGAAAACTGCTCTCCACAAATGCTCTTCATCCAACCTCACTGAGTTCGAGTTGTTTTGAAGAAAGAGTTGGCAAAAACTTCAGCCCTCGATGTGGAAAACTGATAGACATGCCCTAAGTGATTTGCAGCTGCAATCACAGGAAAAGGTGGCGCTGAATAATTTTGCACACCCAATTTCTTAGTTTTCTGTTTGTCAAAAAAAGCTTAAAATATTCAATAAGTTTCTTTCCACTTGTTGATTCTTCTTCAAATAATTACAATTTGAGATCTTTATGTTTGAGGCCTGAAATGTGGCAAAAAGTCAAAAAATGAAAGGGGGCTGAATACTTTTGAAAGGCACTGTAATAGTGCTCCTAGCAGCTTCAGTCAGCATCTGCACAAGATCACTGGCTTTTATTCTGGGGTTAATATATATCAAACGGTCTTCATTAGAGGCACATTGGACCAGAGTAGTAAATCCAGCTTCAAAAAGCATGAAGTCTGCATAGATTTCTTTAATCATTTTAACTTATCCAGATGAATTTAACATTAACAGCTGTTTGTGCAGTGGAAACGGAAATGCAAATGGTTCAAACTAACCTCAGCAGGCTTTTACTAACTGAACCTTAGTTACCCACCTCTACACAAAACCAGTCTCCTTCATAAAGGGTTTCATATCTGGACATTCAAATGATATTTGTATTTGTATAAAGTTGAATGAACAGATCAGGGAAGTTTTCTTGAAATTCAAATGAGACATCTCATTTTTGTATGTGTGAAATTATTTTGTAAACATTTGTCATGAATCTAGTGCATACTTTAGTTTTCTAAAAACAGGATACTTCCTTTTTTCAAGGGATAGGTAGAAATCCTAGAGGAGATAAATATGGCATCTTGAGTATTCCATAAATAATATCCAAGTATTTGACAGACTCTGTTTTCAGCAAATATTAATGTAAAACTAAAGAAAACAATAAGAATGACAACTAAAATGGGTAGAGGTAAAAGGCAGTTTAGGGTATTCAGTAAATAATGAAAAGTACAGTATTATTTCTTACAAACTTTACAAGTACATCATACACATTCTGAAATAAAATGGAGATAAAAAAAGGGAAAACAAAGAGAGGAAATATTTTCTTAAGTTAAAGTGTTGCCCTGTGGAAGAATCCCAAATGCGGAAGCTCAGTAATCATCATATCTTTGGAGTAAAGATTTATCATAGTTCCAAAACCAGTCCAGACAAATTTTCAAGACATCAATCATGAAAATGTTAAGATTCATACAAAATAATTTTTTTTCATGTCTATATTTTGTTAACTAATAATGTTCTTTGTTAATTGCAATTTAAACATATTTGCAATGTATGCCCATAAAAAATTCTATGCCCTGATAGGTTTTCTTTCCTGCTAGCTGGAGCTCACATGCTGGTTTGATTAGATTTATTGTCTTCTTCATCACTGCTAACCGAGTTTCGCTTCTCCATCTTGTGTTCTGATTTCTCAAGCTTCTTCTTATCATCATCCTCGTCAGAATCGTATGATTTATTCTTGAACTGTGCCTCTATTTCTGTGGGGTCGATGTAGGTATAGAAGCTTGCCATAATGGAGAAGATGATGCACACCGCCACCAAGAGAGAGGCAAAAAGGATATACTCTGTCCACTTGAAAGTAAAAGAGGGAAAATGTTAGGAGAAACTTAAAAAAATGTGTTTATATTTTTTTCTTTTTGGTGACATAATTTAATATTTTTGTTACCTGTTTGGGAAGTTTTGCAATCTCTGCAACAATGAGGACAATAAAGTTTCCAACGGCATTAGTCAACAACCAGCCTGCCTGCAGCACTGACTTCATGTTACTGGGTGCCTTATTAATAAGAAGAGATGATTTAAAAGTTAAAAGCCAGGAATAATCATTAGAGATAGTTTATCTTATAAAATATGAACCCCTGCAACAATTCAATTAATTTATAGTTAATCAAAAATCTAAAATAATTAATTGATCCTTTTACTCGTCGTTGCTCAATCAGATTGCTGCATCCTAGACTATAGTCTCAAGTAGGGCTAAATGTCATTATACAATGATATGTAGCATAAACAATGATTTTTTTTTATTTATATGTTTTTTTTTTTTTTTTTAAATATACGTACTTGTGAGTAGGAGAACTCCAGGCCAGTAACAGAAAACATCACTTCACCAGCAGTGATGAGGAAGTACTGCGGGATCTGGAGAGCCATGTGTACCGAGTTTGGCTTTATGTTCACTGTTTCAGTTATCGACTCCTGACACTGAAACAAGTCAACCAATTATCATAAATTAGAGAAAATAAACATATTTATCACATTCATGTAAAAAAAAAAAACAATAACAAAAAACAAAGCAAAAACACAAAGGGATTCGTAACGACTTCTTTCAACACTGGATTTTCTTGTGCCACTTTTCCTGAAAGAAAAATGGACTGTGGGACAAATGCTTGTCCGGTCAACAGGTTTTCCCAGAGGTAGCATTAATGCATTAATACTTTTGTTTTATACCATAATTTGGGTTTGAATTATTTTGACAGTTTTATTCTGGATTTGTCTGGTTTGCTCCTTTGTTTTATGATGTTTTTTCACCGAGGTTTTCTAACAGACTCTGGTGCATATACAGACCAGCTGGATTTACGACTAATTTAAACTGTAGACAGTAGGTACGTTAAATTTATCTATAAAGCTCCTTTCAAAGACTTCAAGTCGCAAAACACTTCCCATGCATATCATACTTAGGTTATAGATAGTTTGAAACAGGAATAAAAAAGCTCAATAAAAGGTGGACACAGCTCCTTAATTAAGTGGTATATGAAGGATTTTATTTTAAGTAGGACAAAAGTGATGCAGAGGTTTGCCCTGCAACCAGAGGGTCAATTGTTAGAACTTCAACTCTGTTCATCTCTGTATTCAATTCACTCCATTCCAAATCAATTCACCAAAACTTTCTTAATCCCAAAGGGAGATTCAGTAAGACTCTTCATCCACAATACCTACTGATTGTGGGCCATGTACAACAGCCTCACTTCTGTCAGTTTGCCCCAGGGCAGCTGTGGCTACAATGTAGCTTTCCATCATCAGTGTGTAAATGTGTTTGTGAATGGGTGACTGACTGAATGTAGAGTACAGGGCTTTGGGGGCCCTTGGACTTTTGCTATAGAAAGGCCATTTACACTTCAGATTATTTATGTTGAAAACCATGTTTCGTTATGCTTCCACTGCAGTTATGCATTGAATAATGTTGGTATATATAATCCCATATAGTGGGTTTATAACCCCTCTAAATTACACTGAAGTTTATGGTTATAATGAAAGAAAATGTTTAAAAGTTTTGCCAAAATGAACAGATTTGATAAGCACAGCTTGTGCAGGAAGAAGATTCGTTTTAAAACAGTGAGAGCGATAGTGTGGGTGCCATTTGGTCAGCTTCATTGTAGTGGAAGAGAGGGTTAACAAATGCAGAAAACAACACATTTGTGGTGCAGAGTACCGGTAATAAAAAAAAACAGCTGTCTAAACTTTAAACACAATGTTAAAATGTAGATCACCATCCTCCTCCTCCATTTATGAGTCCCTCTACCACTTTACCAAAAACTATAATCATCAAGTGTAAAACTTACATTGGATCCAAAAGATAGTGTGCTGGGAACAAAGAATGTATATGAGCCTCCGAATCCAAAATCCTTGCTGTATTCACATGAATGTGACCCATCCTGCAAGGTGAATGTGGCCCTTCATAAGACAGAAAATAATCAACAAACTGTTGCTCAGCAAGGCAGGGAAACATATAAGTAAAACATTGTGAAATGTGGATAAGGACCCTCACCTTCCATTTTTTATTTGGGTGTAGTTTGAATAATGAAATGGGTTAATCACCCCAAGCTGGACTGCATCAGAAGAGACGTTGAGTGGTTTACTCATTCCATTTATAAATCTAAAATGGGAAGATATTCACCAAAACCATTGAGAGAACAGAAACAAAGTAGATTTGATGAATTAAAACAGAGGGTTCTTCATGTTTTCTGTCAGATCGCAAAACTGTTAAAGCAGGTGAAGAATAAATGTTTGGACCTACCGGATTTCATTGTTTCCTTCTTGCGGCTTATAAATCAAATCATCAGCCTGAAGAAATCCAATAACAAACACCTTTGTTTTAAGCAGTTATAGATACTCTTGTGTAACTTTATTTTATATTATTTTGTGATGGTCTCTCACCAGCAGCCATTCATCATTGATAGCTGAGGGGATAAGAAGTGTCTGCCGCTGTTCTTTGGTAAGGAGAACACTTTTTGTGACAGAAGGATTACCGACTGAAACAACAATTTGTTCACTATCAAATTGGAAGTAATCTTCACTGGCCTGTAAATTAGTGCCAAAAATAAAAAATAAAAAATTAGATACTGCAAAAAACAACTTTGAGAAAAGGTATGTATGTATCAAGTATTGAATATTAAGCAATTTAATGATGGGAAAAACATTTATTTAAAAAATAAAATACCTGAGCTCCAGGAAGAGTGAACTCCTCACTGCCTGGAAGCTGGACTTTAATAGCAGTGTTTCCCATGTTGAGTAACTTCAGCTGACTCTGGGTCTTAGATGGGAAGTCAGGCAAGGTTTTCTGAAAATCAGGTCAAAGAAGTTCGTTTTTAGAAATATGTACAAAAGGCTGACATTTATTTTGTTTTGAATATTTCACTTGACATAGCAGGAGAGAAAAAACAAAAATAAATTCTCAACTTACATCAATTTGAAGCTGGATCACCGCTGCACAGAAAAAAGCAAGTGCTGCCAAAATCATCCCTACAGTCATTTTTCTCAGGGGTCTGTTGATGTGAAATAATGCATTGCTGTTTTATTGTATAATTCATACATTTGTAAAGTGGAAATATGAAATAAAAATATATCTGTACCATACCATATCCATCCATACCATTGGAAGAGTTAGTTTAGCAACAAAAGAAAATCCTAATTTAACTTCTAAGACATTAATGGTTGAAACGTAGGTCTATTCTAAGGATGATTATTTTATGTTGCCTATTTCCAGTAAAAAGTATACCATTTAATTTTTGAGTTTTATTGATTTATTTAAAACTTTATTCTTTTGAGCGGACTAGTCATACAACAATCTGTCCAATAGTTCTAAAAGGAAACAATCAGGACTAAAGTTTTTTTTGCTGTTTTATAATTCCCTTCAATTGGCAAATGATCCGAATATAACAAACTCAGAGTCATTTATACAGCATGATGCTGCCACCACCATACTTAACAGTTGTTTAAGAAAAAACAGGGAATGATTTAATTCTTTTGTGTGTGAAAAATATAAAAGAGTGTATTTACAACAAAATAAACAGACAAGATTTTAGAAAAAAGCGAGGGTTTGTTTTTGCCACTTAATTAATATTTGGTAAATAAATGAACCAATCAACTAAAACTGCTTTCTGAGTATCAAACCGATAATATTTAATATAGAGTTGATCTAAGCTTTTGTTGTGACATAAAAAGTAAAGGAAAACAAAATATTCCACCTTACTTACGTAAAGTTCAGACCACACTTTCTGATCAGAGGGTATATCAGGCTGTCCATAATTGGAACCAGAGTCAGGATCAGGATGGGGTTGATCGTCTTCAGCGAACAAACATTACAGTGACCATCTTGTCCAGCAGAGGGCGGTAAATGTGTTCGAACCCTTTAAAATATATTCTCTCTACTTACCTGCATTTGATCAGGCTGTATCACAATTGCCCCCTGCAGAAAGAAAAAAATCAAACAAATGTAGAACAACATGAATTAACTGCTATGTAGAACCATGAACACAATGCTGTCGCTTTTGTCTCCAAACTTACAAAATTTCCATCCATTGTGGTGGCTTGTAGAGTCCATCTTGAGCCCTTTATCAAAGTGAAAATAAATAAATAAAACATCTGCTGAAAGGATGTCATGCTCCCTTGAGAAATGACGACTCATATAGAAATACCTTTTGATCGAAAAGGGTCCAGAACATGGGCAGTGGGATATACAAGAAGAGAACCCTCAGCGCTATTTTGATTTGAGCAATGAGGAGTTTCTACAGCACAGATAAACAGGAAATAAATAATTACCTCTACAGAGAGTAACACCTTGCTGCAATCCATGAAACAAGAAACTCACATCATATTTCTCCTCCGCCCAGTCCATCCAGTGCTCCTTCTTAGGATATTGCTTGCTTCTGTGTCTATACCGGTTTTTAATTGCAAACTGTGTTTCAGATAATTGAAATAAAAGAGAAAACGAATCTTAAAAGTGGATGTTTGGTAAAATTATATCAAAATAGACAACAGTAATTTAGAAGACTTACCCCTATACATTTAGACACTTTGAACATGATATTCCCCTCTGGTTTAGCTTTGTAGTACATACTGCTTCCCATGATAAACACCGCTGTTGAAGATTTAGAATAAGGACTCTGTTTCTACTAAAAACTTATTATGGGAAGATTTTTTCATATGTTTATTTAATCATACCAAGAGCAACCACCATCAGGGCTGCAGGCACCCCAAAAGCAAGAGAGTAGCACTTGCTCTTACTGTGGATGCCACAGTCCTGAGCTGCAGAAAATAAACATCATTAGTCAGTGAACTGGATTTTAAAATTCATTATTTAGGTTTTTGAACAGTTAAATGTGTGCAACATGTACCTCTGAGGATCGGAGTTATAATGGTTGACAGAAGACTTCCACCATTAATGCAGAGGTAGAAAACTGAAAAGAAAGTTCTTCTTTGCTTTTCCTAAATAAAGACACAATAGGTTAGTTATTGGGAATCCATGGAAAAATCTGCAAATGTATTACTGATGGCTTTATTGTTGTAGATTTTTATGCCACAACTGTTTTATTGTTTATTGCCAATATAGCTTAGCAGATTATCTCTTGTTAAGTTGCTCTATCATTATATAGGGTTGCCAACTCCCTGAAAATATATGAAGTTATTTAAAGGACCACTTCTTGGTCAGGTGTTGTCCTCCACCCTAGTGGCATTATAAACTTGTTTTTTCATTTTGCATTTTCTTCTCTTTGTATGAAGTGATGTTGTAAACATTTAACCAGGATGCATTTCCGCACATACATTTGCTCTAAATATAGGACAGTTTCTTTATTGCAAGGGATGGCTGGCAACTTTATTCAGCTGCCTCAAGTGCACATTAAAGGTATAGTGGAGGATTTGCACAAATATTCAAAAATACCTGACCTCGCTTGAAAAATGTTGTGGTATGCTAAGGTTGCTGAACTATAACCTTAAACCCCCGTCTTAAAGAAAGGAGAAATGCACTTCATATTTTGATATTCAAAGCAAAGTCTGCATTTATATATGGGGTCCTATAGGAGGGGTTGACAAATGATAGGTTTGTTTTCACATCTGAACCACTCTTCCTTCATGTCAAATGTGGTCATACCTCTTTCCTAACTAGGCCAGAACAAAATGCATGACTTGTTACTAATCCTGCAGCACACAGACACTGACCAACCAGGGTTTTTGGTTTACCAGCAGGTTCAATAGAAACAGTGACTTCACGTATTTTAAACTTTTAATGCTTGCAGCAATACGTGCTGTATTGGATACATCTCCTTGGTTTGCAGCTAACTATAGTTAGATGAGGTACAGATGTTTTTAAAGTAAGCACATTGATCTAACTTTTAGGTATTTGCAGCAAATGACACCTTTAATCGGTGTAAATCTTCTTCTATTTAGTTTGCCAGGGTCAAAGCTGACATAGTAAGCACGCATTGCAGCATGATTCACAGCCAAAAAGAGTGTGAAGGATGACAACGCATGCAGATAAAACATGGGGTTGGCTTGGAGGAATCATGAGCAATAAAGTCATTAAGATACTGGATGTTTAATATGCAAGCTGAAGATGAAAATCAAGCATATGTGACCTTAGATTAGAGGCTAAACTAATTGCTTTGTTCCAACCTGTTGATCTCCAAACTGGTCTCCACCAAAGGCAGCCACACATGGTTTGATGCCACCAGTTCCAAGAGCAATGAGCATGAGACCCACCATGGACAGCACACTGTATGAGGAAAAAGAACAAGTGCAGGAGAAGGCCAGTGGGCTGACTAGAAACAAATATTTATCCATGTAGAAAAATGTGGACCTACACATGAAAGGTCAGATTGTCTGGTGTCCCGTCTCTGTTTTTATCAGTGATGTCATGGATAGCGCTGACAGCCATCGCCACCTGGCCAACTGCGTAAACAATCGAAAGGTAGATGATAGTCCTGGGAGATAAATGATAGAGAATAGCCTAATAAGTAATGAAACTTTAAATGTGAAAGCATTTTAATTCTGCAGGTAGTCCTTCTTAGATCAAGTCTCTGAAGTATTTTGATTTTATTTTTATTGAACCAAAGGCTGGTGAATGCAGTGGGGATTTAATCCCTCATGTATCTAATACAGCAGTGTTAAAGGCTACTAAAACAAAGCTGAGGAAATAAAGGGCCAGACTTTAAATAAAAAAAAAAAAGTGGAAAAGTATTTTTTTACCTCAGATTGAAAACAAACTTACCTAAACTTTCCAAGCCAGGAGTCAGCCACAATGGCCCCAAATATGGGGGTCAGGTAGCAGAAAGCCACAAAGGTGTGATAGATGGAAATGGCCAAGTCATCGTTCCATTGAAAAAAGTATTTAAAGTACAACACCAGCACAGCTGTGGAAAGGCAACAACAGCTTTTTCTGCTGCACCATGATCAATTTATGAATCATTTACTACTGTATCATATAATTACAGGTTCAAAAAAGAACCAACTTGAACTGAGAGAAAGCTGTAGCTTGATTGAAAAACAAAAAATATAACTATATAGTATACACATTATGTACAAACTTGGGTTAGACCTTTATTTAAATCACAATAAAATGACTCCCTCCCAACAACCAATTCTTTTTGTCATCTTGATGTAGTCTGCTTATTAGAGTTTTTTTTTTTCTTCGAAGGGTTAACGTGTTGCTTGCCAGAGAACTCACCTCGCATTCCATAATAGGAGAACCTCTCACAGAACTCATTAACTATAATGAAAAAGATGCTGATTGGGTAGCCAAACACTTCTTTACTCTATTCAGGAAGTAGAAAGAACAAAAGAAAATACACCTTCAAGATATAGACGGACCAATCAGCACAAAGTTACTTTTAGAGAATATTCAACATTAAATCAGACATGAAAATGAGCAAATCAGAATTGTATGATTTACTGTATTTATTTATTGCATTTTAATTGATGTATAAAAAAAGTTGAAATATTTAAATAATTCTTTACTTTTGTACCAAATGTAAAAGTAGAGAAATAATTAAAAATCCCTCACAGTGATAATCAAACTCTGGGATAATAATCCAGCATTCAAATTAGGATTTAAAATTAATTTTAGTCTTAAAATGATCTGTTTTAAAGCTCAGTTTAAAAATAAAATGAACTTCTTTACCTTTCCTCTTCCCTTTTTTTCTTTTTTGGGATTGTCTTTGTCTGAAGGCAAAATAATCTTCCTTAGCAACAAAACAACTTTAATTCGACTTTTTTATTAAAGCATCTACATATTCTTGTAAATCATACAGAATATTGCTCTATAATCTCACCGGTCATGATGTCTGATTGAGGCTGCTGCCTGCTTTCTCTTGGCCCTTGGTAATCCTTTGCAGGTTGTTCCAGGAGCACCTGATCCTGTATCTTTCACACCTCACAGGTGGGAGTTGAAATGCTTTATGTTATATTGCTTATCTCTAACCCTTCCGCTGTCTTTTCCATTGCTCTGTTGCTTTTACAACAGGGTGGGAACGTGAGATCCAGCTGATAGATGGCATGATCATTCCATTAGACTTTGCAAGACAGTACTCCAAAATGTGGAAAGCCGATTAATGCAATTTTCATTTCAAAATGGTAATATAACTACATAAAAATCTTTAATTAGTAATCCATAATTTTCTGTTTTTCAGGTTAAACCAAGATGTGACCCATTGCTTATAACCACTCTTCAAAATAGAAAAGTTCAAATAAACAGATAAGTTCAGAAATGCATAAATCAGGATATGACAACAAAACAAAGGCAGTTTTTATAAAGTGACCCTTTATAAACAAAGATGGATATTAAAAAACTAAGCAGGGTGAAACAGAAAGCTCACTGCAGGGGACTGGCATTTTTGGGTCCCCAGTCCTCCATAAACAACCATTCATTTTTACAAATTTTCCTTAAAAAGATGCAGAAGTCGAATAAGCTCTTTTGCCATCTGTTTCAACAATGCAAAAAAAAGCTGAAAAAATAAAGGACACATTTAACTTCTAAATGCAAGGAAAAGCCCAAAGTCACTCCAGATTTTTTACTTTTAACAACATAATTCTTCTGACTGGTAGTACTGTATGTCATGATCTCGGTGCTAATAACTGGTCTGATTACTCATTTCATTCACCCGCCAATCTCTGCCCAGTTCTCATTACCGCTCATCTGATCCACCTGCTTCAGCCTCTTTTTAACCAGCCTTCACACCAGTCATCAGTGCCAGATTATTGGAGCCTTCAATGAGAGTTTTCCAGTGTTCCTGAGTTTTTCGGATTGCCAGATGCTGACCCGTTCTTCTTCTGGACCTGTTAGTCTGCCTGTTCCTGTTCTGATCAGTTTGCCTGACCTGTATTCGGACTCCTGCTGGTTTTCTGCCCGTCTGTGTATGGAACATGAAACTGTTTACCGACACTCAGGGGCGTCTCTAGGTTTAAGAGACAAGGGTGACTCAGCCCCTAGAAGATATTGCGCGCGTAGTGCGCGCCGAAATTTTTTCAGTGCACCTGCTAAGGCGTTGTCTGTTCAGATTAACTTGTCTTCTTTATGGCTTTTATTCAGTGCTTTACTGCATTTGTTTTGGGAAAATATGAGGAAAAAATAAATACAGAAAAAAAAAAATATATTTTTTAAAATCGCAAAATAATTATAGGGTGGCTAATGCCAAAGAAAGGATGACTGAAGCCACCCTTAAATAGGTCTAATGACGCTTATGCCGACACTGTCCTGGAATTCCCTTCGGCACCTCTTCAGACCTCTGATCTCCTGGCTCTGACTCCCAAGCATTTCTTTGACTTCGCCCTCTGGATTATCCTGCCTTCCTTTGTCTGCTCTGTTGTTATCTGCTGCTTGTTCTCCTCCTGCAGAGATTCCTGCCTTAGACAAGGACACTGTTCTCTGCAGTTCCATCTTAAATAAACATTTCGTGAAACCTAACTGTCTCTCTGCCTCGAAAACTGGGTCCTTTTGTTTTCCGAGCATGACACTGTGACATTTTGGTATCTGTGGATGGAGCTAAAGATTAGGGTAATGGCAAATATTGTCTTACATTTGGAGAGGACATAAGGACTAAAAGCTTAATGTTCAACAGAGCTGACTGTGCTGAAATAACTAGATGTTTGCTCATAGATGTCCAGATTTAGTGGGGATAAGACTCTGTTCATGCCAACTATACTGAAAAAACAAGATGCTGTTTTATAAAAAATTAACTGTAGCTCCAACTTAAACCCAGCACTTTCATCAGATGAGACAAAAAAAAAGCTTTACAAGAAGATGAAACAGTAATACTGTAAGTTTGGTATAAAATAAAGGAATATAAAGTAAAGTACCTCAAGGTCCTCTACGAAGTGTGGTGGTGGATCCAGGATGCTGTGGGCCTGTTTCTCTTCCCATGGTGCTTTAAAGCTTGTTAGAGCATAGTGCATAATGAAAAGCAGGAGTTTTGGAAAGGAGAATGCATTATAGTATTTTAATAAATGAAGACGTGTGTGTGCATGTGGAAAGAAATGAGTGCTTTTATTTAAAAGATAAGCATTAGGGGATATCTCTGTATAACAGCAGAATGGTGACTTGAGTTAAATATTCTAAACAAAATGCTCAAATATACGACATTTTCTTAAACAATAAAAGAGAATCATAAAACAGTATCAGCTTCATATTTTCTCCACAGTAGGCATAGTGCCCCCCCGACCCACACCTCATCGCTTTGGCAAAAAGGTGAATATATATATATTTTTACAGTGTTTGATCTCGACACAGCAAGATGCTTTGCAAGTATTGCACATAGTATTTTTTTTATGTACAACAATAAAAAAAACTTGGAATACACTGTGTTTGCAATGGCTTTTAAATACATACATAAAAACTGCTGTTCAAGATAGATTTAATGCTAACATGATAAAGACTTATACTTAAAAAAACTAACAAAAAAGCCTTTTCTGAAAATGTAACTTCATGTCCAGAGAGATGAGCATGGATGTTTGCAGCATAAATTTGAATAAAAAAAACAAACCATTGGCTTATAAAAGTGTAATACTGTACATAAAAACACTAAACACAATATAAAAACAACAATGGGCTGTTAGAAGGGCGTGATGACATGCATGTATTAAAAATCCCAAAAGGAAGTCTTTACGGAAAACAGTGCTTAGTCTTTTTGTAGAAACAGGCGACATTATAAATCTCATTAAAAAAAAAATATATAAAAAAAAATGCCTATAATGCAGGATTAAAATTTCTGCTGCAAAGCTACTTGTCTTGTTGGGCTCTGCTTTTTATATGGCCATCCAGAGAGTCTCAAACCATGGCTGACTGAGTGGAGCCGAAAACAAAGCAGGAAAGGAGAGTTATAGGTGATCCCAGCATCTTCTCTGTAAGCTGACCCATCCAATCTGGTTTCAGTGGTGTACACACTAGTCTCACAACCAGAAGCTGCTCATATCACTGAGGCCGAGTGCGGGATGCCCTGGATGGTGACAGAGGTCGGCGTTCCACTGATGGCATTAAAGATGTGAAGAGAGTCTGGGAGGACACTCTTCATTCCGTCTTCAACGGGAGTAATCTGTGAGGCGACAATCAAATCAAAAAGAAAAGCTCATGATGAAGGCCGATACGGGCAAACCTTAGGTAAAGGAAGAGGGCATCACCGTGTTGTTTGGTAGCGACCCTGTGGAGTGTAATGAATATTCCCTAATGGAGGCCATATGCATTATTTTTGTTGATCTAACAAACCTGGACTCTCATTCAAAATATACACACTTTTATCATTTAGATGTTAATAATAAAAAGGAGACTATATTGCTTTTGTCAGCTAATCTTCTCTTTACTGCTCTTCTTGTGTCTGTTTTTCTTAGCCTTATTGTAGCCACACCTGGCCAGGCTTTCTGTTCAGATGTCCTAAAGATGATCCACTTGCCAATGACTTTCACTGATTAAGTCTGCCACCCATTATTACAACTGGCCAACTTTTTACTCTGATTTACTGTATTTGCTCCCCTTCACTCTAAGCATGATTCGTTTACAGGGTTTTTTTTCTTGTTAAAGTTCAGTATTAATCTCTTCTAGTGCTGCAAATTCCTCTCTCCATGATAAATGGTGACACAATCCAGCTACTCATATTGGGTTAAAATATTACACCTCAGAAGTGCAGTAGGCAGCATAAGGACTAAAAGCTCCATAATGGTTTGTTTTGGCGCTAAAGAATCTTTTATTTTTCCTTACATTTGTTTCATAGCTCATTATTATGAAACCTATTTTAAGAATTTTCAGCTATTTTTGTTCACAAAAAAAAATTCTGGGAAGCTGTTTCTATTACAACGTTTACCTGTTGCTGTTCTCAAGTGTGAGTCTTCCCCCTACCTAATGCAATGCAAAGTTTTCTGTTGTATTTGATCAGATTGAGTGACAGAGCAGCAGCAATCCCATAACAAGCTGAAAAGATTCAGTTCATTTACCTTTGCTCCCCAAGGCTGCACACTGTCAGGAAGAAGACTCAACCTATTATTGTTCTTCAAGGGCCCAGAATGCCAAGATGAAAAATCCTGTTTGATCATTTGCTGTAAAATCTTTATTTTTTTCCACTTAAAACAGTTGAATAATTCGCACAGCTTTAACTTTAAACTAGCCATCTTTTCACTGTTAAAGGAGAAGTCCGGTCATATTCAGAACTCAAACTTCTAAAAGCACTGTAAATGTTAAATTATTATATACTGCTCAATAAATGACAAGTGTTTTTAATCAAGAGTAATTTTCATTTGAATGTGCTTTACACATTCAAATGAAATGTTTGCCCATGTTTGTCAAAGAACACTACTGCCAACTACCGGTTTGTGACATCATGGTGCTGTATCGGCTGTTAAACAAGTCCCAGTGCTGTATCTGGTGTTTGTCACAACGCACTATTATCCAAGTCATCTTGAAAACATTCTTCTTCCTAATGTTGGCTACATATTACGTGATTTTTCTCTTGCCAGAAGTTTGATGGCTAATCCTCCCTCTTCAAGTTGGCAATCCAACATCGAAACCGTCCGTGGAGGATCATGAATCGGAAAGGTGACAGAACAAATTTTTTTTCACTTTTATCCGATATATTACAACATCCAATTGTCATGCACGCGGGCATTGTCAGTTTAACTATAGCTGGCACGAATTTCAATGGTGAAGTCCTCTCGAAATCTTAAATAATTGTTGTTGATTGCAGATGTGTCGAGTAGTTCCCATTGACTTTGCTTACAAAGTGTGGAGAATGGCCTTTGACTAATCACACAGTGATATCATTGCCGAAAAATGTCAGGAAGGAGGAGGAGGTGTTACT